ACATAATTAAAAACAGTAAAATTAATCACAAAAAAAAATAAAATGTGGAAAACCTGGGGCTAGAGAGACAGCTGAATGGTTAAGAGTACTTGTTGCTCTTGCAAGGGACCGAGGTGACTCTTAGCACCCAGAGGATGTCTAAGAACCACCCATAAGCCTAGCTCCAAAGGTCCAACAGACATGCACACAGCACGCACATTTGCATATAGGCAAAACATACATATAAAATAAAATAAATAAAAATCTAAAATAAAATATGGATAAGCTGAGAAAGAATTGATCCAAGGTACTTCATTAAGAAACAATTTTAGAAATGAACAAGTGAGAAAAAATAGGCAAACGTAAAACATCTCTCAAATATGTGTTTTTATAGTAAATATGTGACATTTAATTTTTGAACGTCATAAAAAGATCTAACATTTGTATAAAATGAGGTATACTTACCCTAAACTGTCCATATAATGATATCATTGAAAAGAAAAGAACAATAGCCAGTGGACCCCAAAAGTCAGGATTGTCTCTCACTACTTGTCTATTAAAACCAAGCGATGGCATTGGCATCAAAACACAACGGATTTTGTAGTAAATATCTTTTAGATCAATGTCCAATTCTTCCCTATAAATTTAAAATAACATTCTTAAAAAACATGTAATTTTGAACAGTAAAACAGATTTAAAATAACTTTAAACTTAAACTAGATAATATGATACCCACAGGTCAACAACTGCATGTGAAGTGTCTATGAGACTGATTTCATGAGAAAATATCTATCAAGCTCACAGTTGCTGGGGTAACAGTTGCTCAGAATTGAAACTGTAGTAGGTGTGAAGGGAAACAAAGTGCTTCCAAGATGTGCCTCTGTCTGAGTACTGGGATAAAGGTGTGTGCCACCTTGCCTGGCCCATAATTATGTTTTAGACCTGAGTTTCAGCCTTAACCTTGCTTTTAGATGACACTGACTATTTCGGATAGCTGGTCAAACAAGATAAATAGTGTAGAGCATATCTATTTATATGTATGTTTAAGACAAAGACAGTTTTTTTTTTCCAAAGTGGTCACTCTTGCTGGGCAATGGCTGTGCATGCCTTTAATCCCAGCACTCGGGAGGAAGAGGCAGGTGGATTTCTGTGAGTTTGAGGACAGCCTGGTCTACAAAAGAGTTCCAGGACAGGTCCCAAAGAAACACAGAGAAACCCTGTCTCAAAAAACAAAACAAAATAAACAAACAAACAAAAAGTGGTCACTGTCTCTTTTGAGAGAGGGTTTCACTAAGTATCCTTGCTGGCCTGGAACTCAAAAGGACCAACTGTCCTTGTCTCCAGAGTGTTGGGATTAAAGGCATGCTAGCAGAGTGGATTTTGCTCTTTCTTCTCAAGATCACTTATAACATGTGAGTGTGAATGTTTGAGCACAGGCAGGTCTACGTGTGGGTGCCAGTGCACACACTGAGGCCAGAAGGTGCAGAGTGCGCTACTCTATCGATCTCCATGTAGTCCTTTTAAGATAGGGTCTCTGCCTGAACCTGGGCTCAGGTTTTCTTGGCCAAACTCCTAATTCTTATGTATCTACCTCTCAAAAACTGAGATTATAAACATATAGTACAAAGCCCAGCTTCCAGCTTTAAAAATTTATATATATATGTATATGTATGTATATATGTGCATATATATATATATATACATACATACACACACACACATACACCGTTTCCTTTTTTGAGACAGAGTTTTTCTGTAAAACAGTACTGGCTGTCAGGGAACTTGCTTTGCAGACCAGGCTGGCCTCAAACTCACAGAGATCCACCTGCCTCTGCCCCGAGTACTTGGGATTAAAAGTGTGTGACACCACCTGGCCAGCTTTAAAACTTTTAAGAGGTATTTTTTTAAAACAAATGTTTTATCTGCAGGTATGTCTGTGTAATACACGTGTGCCTGATGCCCTCAGAATTCAGAAGAGGAAATCAGATCCCTTGGAACTGGAGTTACAAGCAGTTGTGAGCCACCATGTGGACTGTGGGAACAGAAACCCAGTCCCTGCAAGAGCAGTCACGCCACTTCTCCAGTTCCCATTTAAAAACCCGACACCCACAGCCAACAGGCTAAGAGCATTTTTTTCCTCATCATTTCAAGTGCTAGTAAAAATAGTGCTAAAACCTGCTTTTAAAGACTTTGTGTGTGTGTATGTGTGTGTGTGTGTGTGTGTATGTAAGCGAATGCCATGTATATACAGGCGCCTACAAAGGCCAGAAGACTAGTCAGATCCCCACAGGCTGGAGTTACAGGCAGCTGTGTTGCCTGAGATGGATGATGATGGCACTAAAACTCAAGTTCCCTGAAAGCAGGAAGTACTCATAACTACTGAGCCATCTCTCTAGGCCCTGCTACTGTTTTTCACCTAAACAGTTAAAATTTTCCTTTAACTGACTTTAAAAATATAAAAGAACATAAACACAGAATAGGTCCTAAAGATCACAAAAGACAAATCCCTTCACGTACAAAAGTGGCTTGTTATCTTCAGGGTCCTCATCTTCAACTTCCAGAAGCCAGCCATACCCTCTTTGTCTCAGAAATGTGGTAGCTGTAGATTCTTTGATAAAATCTCCACCTCCACCGAGATTTAATTTGACATCTGGGGCTGCTATAGAACCACTGAGATCTTAAGAGAGAAGACAAAACTGTGACCAGAGAGAAATATGTGAACGTGAACCAAAATGTACATATATTCGTATAATTATACTTTGTCAATCCTTTGGATATTTGCTATTCCATATAATCTTCAAGTTTCATCAGACAGACATTGTGCCACTTTTTATTTTACAACTAGAAACAACAACAACAACAAAACCAAACTGGTGAAAGACAAGGCAGGTACAATGGTACAGGCATGTTATCCTAGTGTTCAGGAGGCGAAGGCCCAGGGTGGCCTCGAATTCAGTACATAGACAAAGATGATCTTCAACTTCTGGCTTTCCTGCTTCCACCTCCCAATGCTAGGATGAGTCACCAGAACGCCTTCATACAGGGCTGGAGATTCAACTCAGAGGCTCCTGCCTACTACCAACTAAGTTCCTCCTCAGCCCTATACCATACTTTCTAGAGCAGGTATCATCTACCTCTTCCCTATCAGTCCATTATCTGAGAGGCTACATTTTGTAAAATGATTACCTCCTTAAGATTTTCCTGACTTTTGTTGATCTTCAATTCTCCATCTGTCTCGGCCTCTCAAGAGCAGGGATTACAGACGTGATCCACCTGGCCTGGCTTTCTCTGATCTACGTAGGGATAATTTTCCTTTTAATCTTTTATTAAATTCTAAGACAGTGCTGCTCAAAAATGCTAAGATGCTTATGAATTACCCAGGGATCCTGATAAATATAAATTCAGACTAAGGAAGATTATACCCATGTATTAGGTAATGTTAATTCTGCTGGCCTACAGCATAAACCAGATACAGAATTATCTATTTGTTTGACATAAAATAATGACACCTAGCTACTCTGGAGACTGAGGCAAGATGTCAAATTCAAGGCAATACTGGCTACATACTGAGTTTACAGCCAGCCTGAGTAACTTAATATGACTGCGCTTAAAGGGGTGCGCCGCCGCCACCACCACCTGGCTCCAAAATAATTTCTAAAGGAGAAAACAAAACATAGTCAAAGAAATCAGATTTCAAAGAAAATCAATGTTCATCTCCAGACTGAAATTTCTTTTCTTTCTTCTTTGTTGAGACAAGGCCCTGGTGAGCCTGGAACTTGATGTGTATGTAGTCCAGGCTGGCCTCAAACTCAGCAATCTACCAGCCTCTGTCTTCCAAGCATGGGGATCACCGGGACTCACTACCCAACACACCGTAGTCTCTTACACTATATTTCTAAAGCAAAATCAGCTTGTTTTTTTCCATGCTGGGCAGTTAAATCTAGTCCCTGGAAAGTAAACAAAATTAAATCAAAACCCCAAAATTACTAGCAGATGAAGAGTCAGGTTACAAGGAGTTGAACGAAGTGGGGAAGGGAATCCCATACAGCACAAAAATCTTCCCAGCACCAGTAGTTAATCAAAATACAAGCCAAGTCTATAGAGGCTGTTGGGGACACTGAGTTGAATTCCTAAAGTTTCAAATGCTCCTAAATCCAGTTTTCTGAATATTGTGGTCAAACACTACAAACTGGACACAGGGATCTGAGCTAGAAAACAAAACCAATAAAAACCACGATTCCTTTGAAGTTCGTTCTCCTTAAGCCGCCAAAGGTAACCTCAGGAGAAAGAAAGAAAAAACAAACAAAAAGCTTTTCTGTTAATAGCAGAGGAACACAGCCCCACTTTGTTCTCATTCTTTGATCCTTCACTCTTTTGAGCAACTGCGGAGTGGAGCATTTCAGAAAGAAAACCCTGACCGACCGGCGGGTCACTGGTCACCCCGCCCGTCGCCGGAGGGGGTGGCCCAGCGGCGGAGCCTGCGCCCCGCACCCTCCCGAGTCATTTGCGGTCTCGGGGGAAGGCCCAGCGGGCACAGGGGCGGGAGTCCCCACTCGGCCACCCCTGCTCCGGAGCCCCGTCGGGCCCACTCTCACCTTCCGCGTCCGCCGAGGAGACGAAGGTGAAGTCCCCGTTGGCGGGCGCGTAGGCCGGGGGCGGGCCCGGAGGCTGCATCCCGCCGGCCTCGGAGCCCACGGCGGTGCTGGGGCGCGGCTGGGCCCGGGTCCTCGCACGGTGACGACCGTGCTAGCGGGCGGCCTGCGAGCCGGGAGGCGCGGGCTGGGACGAGGGCGGAGACGCGCGAGCCAGGCCACTCGGCTGCTCCCGACGAGGTCGCACCGGAGCCCGGCCGGTGGCGAGCGCCCAAGCACCACGACGCCGGCGCCCTGACAGGACCATAACATTGACAGCGCCGCCGGGATTGGCTGTTTGTAATCTGCTCTCCCATTGGCTCCCTGGGGAAGGTTATGATTGGCCCTTCTTGTTGTTGATTCCGGAAACCAACCCTGTACCGGAAGTTACCTCGGGAAATCTCTGTCCCGCCCTAAGCTGTTTGTTTAAATGGTTTACTCTCTTTTTTTTCCCCTTCATTTTTTATAAACTCATTCTTTTCTTTATAGATAAACAGAATTTGAGAGGTTAGTCGTACGGCTCACGCTTGTAGTCCCTGCGCTGTGAAGACTGAGGCAGTAGAAACATTGGGCGTTAGAGGCCAGGTTTGGCTACAAAGTAAGACCCCCGCCTGCGCCACCACCGCCAGGCTGAGACCCCCCCCCCCAATCTAAAACCAAAACAAACTCACAAAAACTACATAAGTTTCAAGACTTCAATCCCTCATCTCTGACTCCAGAATTCTGCTACCTTTACTCGTTAGTTGTGTAGAATATTGACAAAGTTACACGTCCTTTCAAAGACTTAATCTCCTCACCTTTAACATAAAGAGGCTGGGTGACAGAATGGGCAGAGTAAGGCTGTGAATCGCCACCTACAGACTAGATATAGTCTAGCCGAATTCACTTATGAGGAAGGCGACAGGCCAGAGAGAAGAAATCAGGACAACACTTAACAACAGCTTAAGCAAGTAAGTCCCCTTGCTTCTCACCTAGTGCTCACTTCATCGGTGCCTGCAGAAGCCACAAGAGGGCGTCAGATCCCCTAGAACTGGGGTTAAAGCAAATTTGCACCACCTGAGTGGGTACTGGGAACTCAAACGCAAATCTCTACAAAGGAAGCAAGTGCACTTAACCTCTGAGTCATCTTTCTAGCCCCTCATCTATGTTTGTAATCTTAAAATGCATTTTAATCATTTTAATTATGTATATATGTATACACAGGCGTGCAGGAGCGAGACCACAACACAGCACCTGACATGGGTGCTGGGAACAGAACTCGGAAACTCTGCAAGAGCAGTATGGGCTCTAACATATGAGCCACCCTTTGGTCCCTACCTATGATTTTAAAAGTTCAAATTAGTCTACTTAAATTTAAAATTCAAGATACATAAAAGTGGCTTCCAATTTGGGGAGTTCTCAGGGTATATTGTGAAACAGACATGGGAAGATGTACAATGAATCTATAATGTTGCAAAGGGAAGGCATACCCTGTAATTTTTTTTTCTGAGAAAGGGTGTCTCCCTGTAGGGAGCCTGTCCTGCTCTGGAACTCGCTCTGTAGTCCAAGCTGGGATTAAAGGCATGCACCACCATGCCCAGTGGTGTATTTTTTTTAAATATATTTATTATGTATATAGTGTTCTGTCTACATGTATGCCTACTGGTCAGGAGAGGGTGCCAAATCTTATTACAGATGGTTTTGAATGACCATGTGGTTGCTGGGAATTGAGCTCAGGACCTCTGGAAGAGCAAACAGTGCTCTTAACCACTGAGCCATCTCTCCAGCCCCCAGTGGTGTATTTAAAGAAGTAGTATAATGTAGTCCAGGCAGGCCTCCAAGTTCATATCTACCTGAGGTTTTCTTGAACTTCTGATCTTCCTCTTTCTGTCTTCCCAGTGAAGTCATTACAGGCATGGCCTGTAATGCAGGACAATCAGACACGATAGGGAGTCAAGTCAAAGCAGGAACTCAGTTTATTACTGTGAGTGTCAGCTTATATAGGTTAAGTGACCTCGTGGGATGCAGGGGTACCTCCAGCCAATGAGAGACTGCCAAGCCCTTCCTCTGGTTGGAGGGGCATCTACTTAGATTTTGCTGTCTCATCCTCACTCAGTTCCCTCAAACTCGAGCCAGGCTTTTCTCTGTCCTACAGGTCTTGAGATTTTGGCCCAACAAATCTCAGTTCTCCCGCTCCTCTCCTCCTGTACCCTTCACCTTCCCCCCCCCCCCCCCCCCCCCCCCCCCCCCCCCCCCCCCCCCCCCCCCCCCCCCCCCCCCCCCCCCCCCCCGTCTGCTTCTCAACTAAGTCTGTCCCATCACCTTATTGAGGCAGGACCCCACCCACCCATCCACCAACCCCGTGCCTGTGCCTAAGCTGAGGAAAGTATCTCTCCATAGAGAATGGGATCCACAAAGTCAGTCCATGCATAAGGGCTAGATCCTGGTCCCACTGCCAGTGGCCCCACACGCTGCCCAAGCCACACCATTGTCACCTGCATTCAGGGGGCCTAGTTCAGTCCTATGCAGGTTCCCCAGTTGTCAGTATGGAGTAAGTGGGCTCCCACTAGGTGGGGTCAACTGATTCTGTGGGTTTCCCCATCATGGTCTTGACCCCTTTGTTCATATTATCGCTCCTCCCTCTCTTTGACTGTACTCTGGGAGCTCGGCCCAATGGTTATTTGTGGATCTCTGCATCTGCTTCCATCTGTTTCTGGATAAGGGTTCTAGCTTCTCTGGGGTTGTGAACTGTAGTCTGGTTACCCTTTATTTTATGTCTGATATTAACTTATGAATGAGTAAACACTATTTTCTCTTTCTGGGTCTGGGTCACCTCACTGAGGATGTTTTTTTTCTAGTTCTGTCCATTTGCCTGCAATTTTTTTTTAATTTTTCAAAACAGGATTTCTCTGTAGCTTTTGGTGCCTGCCCTGTAACTCTATAGCCTAGGCTGGCCTCAAACTCGCAGAGATCCGTCTGTCTCTGCTTCCCAAGTGCTGGGATTAAAGGCGTGTGCCACCACTGCTGCAAATTTAAAGATGTCATTGTTTTTTTTTTTTTTTTTACCACTGTGTAGTACTCCTTTGTGTAAATGTACCACATTTTCTTTATTGATTCTTTGGTTGAGAGGCATCTAGGTTGTTTCCAGGTTCTGGCTATTATGAATAATGCTGCTATGAACATAGTTGAGCAAATGTCCATGTGGTGTGAGCATGCCTCCTTTGGATATATGCCCAAAAGTGGATATTGTAATGGATGAAGTAAAATGCTACAGATCCCGAGTGGCTGCAGTGGCAGTGGGCAGCAGGTCCCAAGAGCAGCCAGTCCCAGGAAGGGACAGTGCAGTTCCCCCAAGTGACTGCAGTGGGCCACGTGGGGCAGCGAGTCAAGTCCCATGAGGAAAGACAGACAGATGGGCAAGCCATGAGACCACGCAGCAGGTCTCTGAAGGCAGCTGGTCCCAGGCAGGGAGCCATGTGGCAGGAGAGAGAGAGAGAGAGAGAGAGAGAGAGAGAGAGAGAGAGAGAGAGAGAGAGAGAACAGAAGCTGCTTCTTCTAAAGGGAGCCAGATGGAAAAGGGAAGGACTCAGGCTGCAAGCTGAAGCTCAGATTGCCTCAGCAAAAGGGGGGGGGGGAGTGGGCATGGCTTGTCTCTTAAAGGGACAGGACAGATCATTACAGTAATGATAAGTTTTTTTATAATAGAGCTTAGAATTTATTGAGTATACTAAACCTCAAGATTTTTATCATTCTTGAAAGTTTTAGTTACCTCTTCTTTTATTTTAAAGAATTTTTAATGATGTATTTAACTTTATTTTTATGTGTCATGGTGTAAAGGTTTCATATCCTCTGGAACTGGAGTTACAGACATTTGTGAACTGCCTTGTGGAATTGAATCTGGGTCTTCTGGAAGAGCAGTCACTACACTTAACCACCAAGCCATCTCTCAAGCTTTAGTTACCTCTTCTAATATGGCTGCTGCGGTGTCATTTTTCCTTCCTTTCTGAAAATATGATTAGAGGCACACCAGTCATGGATTACTCAGTAACACACACACAATACCTAATAACTCACACTTGCTCACGCTTCAGATGCCAGGCATTATGGTAAGTGGTTTACGTTCATCTGTTCAGTCATCACAAGAACCACGTAAAGCAAGAACTTTTCACAGATAAGGATAAACAGGAATTCCTCACAGATAAGGAACAGGAAATAGGGAAAGAATACTTTCCAAAGGTCATAGAGATAGCAAGCAGCAGCAATAGAACATGAGCCCTGAAAATCTGGTTCCATGATACCAACTCTAATGCTCTGAAATCTTACAGCAAAGGATTTTCCCTCTGTGCTTGATGTTTATGGGGGGGTGGGTCCTGGGGTTTTCTATTGTTGTTAATTGTTTCTTCATCTCTGTATAAACCAAGCAGGATTTTTCAGACCATTGATTTTGTTTCTGGAATCTTCTTCCATCTGGCCCTTTGGACAGGTAGGTTTATTGATTTTAAAGGAGCGGTACAAATGCTATATTTAACTTGCTAATCTCATTTATTTCTTGTAAATATTGGTTGAGAGGACTGGCTTTTTCAAACTAAACTTTCTTTTCTTTTCTTCTTTTTTTTAGGTTTATCAAGACAGAGTTTCTCTGTAGCTTTGGAACTTGTCCTGGAACTAGCTCTTGTAGGCCAGGCTGGTTTCAAACTCACAGAGATCCACCTGCCTCTGTCTCCTGAGTATTAGGATTAAAGGAGTATGCCACCATCTCCCAGCTCAAGCTAAACTTTATAATAATCATTGGAACTACCTCATTATGAAGCACTTTGGTTAGTTTCTGAATCAGCTGCTTCCCATTGTAAAAAGAAGTTTACATGATCAAGGATGAGAGCAGCACTATTTGTTGCTGTTGTTGTTTTAAGACATGATACCTTGGTGTAGCCCTGGCTGACCTGGAATGCACTCTGTAGACCAGGCTGGCCTCAGACTCCTAGAGACTTCCCTCTTCCTCTGGAGTGCTGGAATGAAAGGTATGCACCACCATGCCCTGTTCTGCTGTGGCTGCTGTGCCTGCTTTTACTGTATAAATAATTTTGGGTACCTCTCAGTAGACCAGGATGGCCTCAAACTTGCAATTCTGCCTCTGCCTCAAGTAGCTGAGATTACAGTCATGTCACCATTCCCAGATATTTTTAAGTTTGTGAGCTCAAGTGTGTGTGTGTGTGTGTGTGTGTGTGTGTGTGTGTGTGTGTGTAGGGATGTGGTGAGTTGGTTTGTTTTGTTTTGAGACAGGGTTTCTCTGTGTGGCCCTGGGTGTCCTATAACCCACTGTATAGACCACGCTGGCCTCAAACTCACAGAGAATCACCTGTCTCTACCTCCCAAGTGCTGGAATTAATGGCACGAGCCACCACTCCTGGCTATATTCCTTGGTTTTGAGATAAGGTCTCCCACGACCCAGGCTGATCCTGAACTAAGTGCACAGTCAAGGATGACCTTAAACTCCTGATCCTTCTGCCCTTACAAGCACCTTACAAGTACTGGGACTGCAGGCATATGTCACCTCGCTCAGCTGTTTTCTATAACTTTAGTGTTGCCTTTTCTTTCGTCTAACGGGTATATAGTAGTTTATTTGGAATGACTCGGGTTGGGATGAAGCTCAGTTGGTATTCACAAAGCCTTGGGTAGCGTCACATGCTCACTATTGCCAAGGTGTGCAAGATGTTGGAGGTCAGAAGATAACTCTCAGGAATCAGTTTCCTACTTCCGTTGAGGGCTCCAGGCATGGAACTAAGACCGAATGGGTACAGCAAGAATCAGAAGCTGATTGACTGATTAGAACTTTAGAAGTCATTTGTTAGCAATTTTGGTGTCTGACCCAAAAGCTCCTAACAGGCAAAACCTTTGGGACCTATTAACAAAGCAGCCTAATGACCCAGAGGCTGAAGATGGCCTCAGATCTGAAGCCTTTCCCAGGGGTTTCTTTGCTGTGGTCTGCCTACCTGATGTTTCCACCAACGTACTTGAACTTACATTGATTTATGACTTTTATTGTTTTATTAATATAAAAACTTACTGAAACTAAACTGGCTCTAGCAATTGAGACGCAGAGGCAGGCAAATCACTGTGAGTTCCAGGCCAGCCTGGTTTACATAGGGAGTACCAGGACAGCCAGAGCTACATAGAGAGAGTCTGTCTCAAAAAAACAAAACAAAACAAAACACACACATAAACACACCCCAAAACCGAGACAAAATAGAAAAGCCCTTCATGAAACAGTTATCACTTTGGATCTTTGGAGCACGGGGTATCCTGTTTTCCTGGGTTGTGTTCACTCATAATTGTTTCCAGTAAAACACTCTCATTCCCTTTGCTTAGAAAAGTCAACAGTCATTAAATCTTTACATTATGAAGAAGCAGGAAACAGGTGAGTAAGTTCAAAGTCCCACTTCCTGGCTGCTCTCTCACTCATTTTTCTTGTAAGCATGTGTGTCCTAACCACCCTTACTATGCTTTGTCAGAAAGGAAAAACCCATCAGGCACTTCCTCTTCTGTACTCTCGCTGAACAAAGACGTTTGGATCAACAGGAGCAGCCTTGCTGTCAAACTAAAAGGAGAGAGAGAGAAACTTACTTTTAAAATGACTTTCCTTCATCCTTCAAGAGGAAAGCAACTGGACTGCTTGACCAGGTACTTCAGGGAATGGATTTGAAGTCACTTTAGAGTCAATTACTGACATTTGGGTTTGGATTCATTGAAACCTTGTGTCTATAAGGATTTCCTGCAGTGAATGGTTTGCCCATTGGGCTGATTGCCTACAGGGAAGCCTTGGAGGTGAGAGTGGGCAGTGGCTTAGGGAGAGGGGAGTGGACAGTCGGGCGGGGAAGGGGGAGTGGACAGCGGGGGTGAGGAACAGCAGGGTTGTTAACTTGGTCTGCTGGAGTTTAACTGGGATTTTCTGAGTTGGTGTTTAAAGTTCATTGAGCCCTAGAGGGTACATTCGTATTTCCTCTGAGACAAAAGAGCTTTGAAAATGAGTCTTGGCACTATGGAAAGGAAACCCAGAGCGGACAGCAAGAGGGACACTTGGTCCATCTTGTCTCCTGAGGCACGGACAAGATGCTTGAACTTAGAGAATGGAAGGAAATCCCTGTTTGTGGGCCAGTGTTTGTAGGAAGCGCTCTGCAGACCCCATTGTGTGATGAGGTGTTTCCAGCCATTATCTCAGTTGACCTTAGGTGTAGAGGTGGAAAATGTGGCAAAGATTCACCGTGGTCAGACAATAATCAGCTGCAGGACCTAGGATCTAAGCTGGTCAGCTGTCCTGCTCCTAACAGCTCAGCTCGTGTCTGTAGTACTGCTCATGAGTTTTAAATGTTTGCTTTAATTGGTGTATATTCATTATAAGCAATACCAGGACATTTTCATATAAGTATATAACGTTCTTTGAGTATTCCCCACCCCTATGCCCTCCTAACACCCCCTAGCCATTTTTGTCCTTCCAGGTTCCCATTAGTCCTGAGTGTGCCCCTAGACAGTTTCACTTCTGTTTGCGTAGCTTACATATGTTATTTGCATAGTGCTGAGAATACTCAGTAAGATTGTTGGAGTTCAGCAGAGATCTAAAAGCATTCTAGGCTAAAACGTATTTTACTTGAACGGTAGACAAATCACTGAGTGACCACTTCTGCCCCATCTGTTCCCATGTGTTTAATTATTGCAACACTCCTAGGTTTGGGGCAGATATTATGAGCACTAATATTTCAGTAAAGAAATCATAATCCAGAGGCTGAGGAGATGCTCAGGGGGTAGGGGAGCTTGTCACCAAGCTTGTTGACCCGAGTTTGATCCCTGTGATCCCTGGGAGCCATCTACTATTCCACAAGGAGAGAACTGTCTTCTACAGATTGTCCTCTAATCTCTACACAAATGTGGTGTGCGCGCGTACACACACACACACACACAGTCAATGTAAAAAAAAATTACAAAGCAAGAAAGCATGCCCCAGAAAGATCAAGTAGCACGTCTAGAAGCAGCCGTCTAGCAAACTGAAGAACGGGGGTTCAAGTTTGAAGTCTGCAATGCCAAATCTAAGCACACACATACGCCAGTTCCATGCGCTGCCTCTCTGCTCCCAATTATATGAGTTCTTTCCCTGACATCAGTCATTGTGGGAATGACTCCCTAGACGTGGGTCAAGAGGAGTTTCAGTTCTCTGAGGAAGCCATCTAATGAGTAGCAAGAACATTACCAATTAAACCGGATATGGTAGCTCATGCCTGCAATCTTAACAATGAGAAAGCTGAGGCCAGAGAATTAGCATAAGTTTAGTACTAAACTGAGCTACACAGTGTGCACCAGACCAGTCTTGGCTATTTTGTAAGCCAAGTCTTGTTTCAAATAAGAAAATATTATTTGCCAAGGTACAACCATAACAAAAGGATCTCTTCCACATGATTCAGTTATTCTTAGGATAGCTTGGTGGGAGGCAGGATTTTCAGAGCGTGACCCAAAATCCAGATGGTCAAATTGGCTACATCCCTATTTTTGTTCAATTTTTTAAAATATTTTATATTTAAAGATTATTTTAATTATGTGTTTGCATGTGTGTGTGTGTGCGAGTGTGTGTGTGTGTGCATGGAAGCCGGTGTACATGAGTGCAAATACCCACGGAAACAGTTGTGAGTTGCACAACATGAGTGTTAGAAACAAAACTCAAGTCCTTTGCAAGAGCAGTATGTGTCCTTTTTTTCTTTAAAATTTATTAGCAAAGTGGTGGTGGCACATGCCTTTAATCCCAGCACTCGGAGGCAGAGGCAGGAAGATCTCTGTGAGTTTGAGGCCAGCCTGGTCTACAGAGCAAATCACAGAACAGGCACCAAAGCTACACAGAACTAAATAAATAATAAATAAAATTTATTTAATTTTGAGATTGTATTTTAATTATATTTCTCTGCTGTAGACTGTTCATATATACCTCCATACTCTCCTTCAAACTCATAGGTTCTTTTCTTATCAACTGTTATTGAATGCATATATGTATCTGTACATACATCTATATCCCCAAATGCATCCCATTGAGTCCTTACAATGTTACTTGTATGCATATTTTCAGGGTTAAGCACTTGGTACAGGACAACCAATTGTTGTGCCCTGGGGAGGGCTACACCTTTCGCTCCCTGCTTTACTTGATGGTCTGTAGTTCTTTGAGTGGGGTTGAGGTCTCATGGGCTTTCCCTGCTGTGCAGCTAGTTAGTCATGTTTGTTCATGCTCTCCTTATTCAGCTCATGTTTGGGAGGTCATGTTGCCGAGACTTCAGGAGGCATAGATTTGGGGGGGGGGTTGTTTTGTTTTGTTTTTTTGAAACAGGGTTTCTTTGAGTAGCCCTAGCTGTCTTGGAACTCACTCTGTAGACCAGGATGGCCTCAGTCTTGGCGATTCCCCCTGCTTCTGCACTCCAAGTGCTGGAATTAAAGGTGTGTGCCACCACCACCTGACCCATGGGTATAGATTCTGATGTTACTAAGAAATGCAATCTCACAGCAAAGTTCTTGATCTTCTGACTCTTATGATTTTCCACCCCCTCTTTCACAATTTATTTATTTTTAAATTTATTTTTATTTCACATGCATTCATGTTTTGCCTGCATGTATGTCTGTGCAAAAGTGTTGGATCCTCTGAAACTGGAGTTACAGGAAATTATGAGCCTCCATGTGGGTGCAGGGGATTGAACCTAGTCCTCTGGGTGCTCTAAGTGCGGGGCTATCTCTCTAACCCTGATTTGTTTATTTTTATTTCAAGCGTTTTGCTTGCTTGTCTTTACGTGTGCCCTGTACATGCCTTAGGCACTATGAGGCTAGAGGAGGATGCCCTGCTACTGGAGTTACAGATGTGGGTGCTGGGAACTGAACCCATATGTACACATGAACCTGATACGCTTCCTCCAACCAGGCCACATCTACTTCCTAATCCTTTCAAAAAGTTCTACTTCCTGATGACTAAACATTCAAATATATGAGCCTGGGGGGGGGGTTATTCTTATTAAACCACCATAAATATGGAGGGGTGAACGCACTGCGGTGACTCTTTCTGTGTACCAGACACTGCCTTTATCATCGACTCAGCTTGTCAGTGGTAGATCTCCATCCAAGTCCTAATCCTAGCACAAGACCAGACCTTTGCTTGTCTTCCTGTTATCCCTATCTTGTTTTCTGGCTCTTTCTCTCAAGGCTCCTTCCTTATGCCACTTTCTCTGTATACAAATGGTCCTTTAACTTCCTGGGGACAAGCCAGCTCCATCTTTTGATATTTCAATCTCACTTGTCCTCTTGGCTCTGATTGGCATCAATGGGAAGTACCTGTGGAGTTGGTGAAGTTCCACTTGACCATGGTCTATCTCTAGGCAAGGAGCCAGACATTTGGTCAAAGCCATACTTTGAGCAAGTTTGTGTGTGTGTGTGTGTGTGTTTGTGTGTGTGTGTGTGTGTACACATGTAGAATTCAGAGGCCCACGCCAGGTGTCTTCCTCAATTACTCTCTGCCTTTCTGCTCCTGATAGAATCTTTTGCTAAACCTGGTACCATAAGCTAGTAAAACTGGCTGGCCAGTGAGCCTGTCTCTAGCTGCTTTCTGTGCTAGGGCCAGATGTTTGCACAGTTGCTGGGGATAGAACTCAGGTCCTCACCCTTCTGCAGCAGGGACTTCCATCACCTCTGAGCAAGTTTTACACAGTTTGTGTAGCACAGTTAATAAAAACCCAGAGATAGATATTGAGGTTCATCCTGAAGGCAGAAAAGCAAAACAGCCCACCATTGGTTCTTACCCTCTACCTGAGTTCGAAATGGTGATCCTGCCTCCAAGAATCTCGGACTGAGAGCCTTCTCCTCCCATTTTATAATCATCTCTACTTCTCGGATTAAAGGTGTGCACCACTGGGATTAAACGCAAGCACTGCCCAGTTTCTACGGCAAACTAGTGTGGCTACAGGGATTAAAGGTGCATGTTATTGTCTCCTGGTCTGTAAGGCTGGCCAGTGTGGATGTTTTACTCTGTGAACTTCAGGCAAGCTTTATTTATTTATATAAAAATGAAATGCCACTACAATTTTGGGCCATCGTCATTTTCTCATCTAGAAAGAAGCATGGACTTGAGAAGAAGCAATTTTAATCTTTCTATTTGATCACTTCCGCTTTTGTTTCCTTAGTTTCTTAGGATAAACACCAGCTTCATGGGAAGGAGACATCTTTGGCATTCCCATTTGGAAAAAAAAATCTACTGAGATCTAGAAAAGTTGGAGCGCTTTGACTGAGAACAAGTAAGTACCCTAAAAACAGCATCTGCCTAGCTATGTATATTGATGGTATTAAATAAAAAAAAATTCATGTTTTCAGATGACTATTTATCTGTGGGATTCTCAATTACATATTCTTATGTTCCGTTGAGAATTTATTAAAAAATACGGCAAGCCTATGGGAAAAAAGGCAGATGATAAATGGGGCAAGACGTACAGTGACCAGACTGTACTTTAAACTCTTGGTTCTGGCCATCATCACCTCTTCAAGCATAAATCTTCCCTCAAGACTTCAGAACACTCTACCCAATCACTTCAGAGAAACTGGGCAGACCTCAGTGGTACCCAAATGAACTGTTTTCATTTTGATACCAGTGTAGTAACCACTAGCCACTTGGGGCTATTTCACCATGAATCAAAGCATTAAAATTTAATTTACTATAAAACCCGGTTGCACATGAAGGCACAGTATTGCACGCCTTTAATCCCAGCACTTGGGAGGCAGAAGCAGGCTGATCTCTGTGAGTCCGAGCCAGCCTGGTCATCAGTGAGTTCCAGGACAGCCAGAGCTACATAGGGAGGCCTGTTAAAGCAGCAGCAGCAAAGAACAACATCTTTAATTACATAATATAGAAGCATTATGTAAGAGATCTTGCCTTTAAGCCCTATATCAGCATGAATGACGGCTCCCTGTGTATGTAGTGATAGAGTACCTTCCCCAGTTAACCTTCCACCCTCTGTTCTATTCTATTCTATTCTATTCTATTCTATTCTATTCTATTCTATTCTAGCTCCTCCCAAGTCAGAGTGAAGTTGAAGCAGGTGCCTGGGAGTGAGACACGGGAGAGTAGCTGGGATCTCAGCTGAGGGCCTAATGGTCCCCCAGCTCCTCCTAGAGGAGAGTGTCAATGGGTACGATATTGTGAGGGGCTCTGGCTCTGATTAAGATGGCTCTTGGTCTTGGAGGACAGGGCCATTCATTACTTCGAAACCCATGTTTTCACTACTGTAACTTTACTGGAGATTTTTCTTTTTTCTGTTTTTTCCCCCTTTGGAGACAGGGTCCCACTACATAGCCCTGGCTGTCCTGGAACTCACTCCATGGATCAGGCTGGCCTCAAAGTCACAAAGATCCACCTGCCTCTGCCTCCTGAGTCTAGGATACAGGTGGGTGCCACTACACCTGGCGCTCACTAGAGACTCTTGTATCGGTGAACAAAATCACCCACCTATTTTAATCACCAAAGTGAAACCGTCTTGTTCACTGACCAAAGTTAGGGCTACTGAGTTTTGTGGATCACTTCTTTTTGTTTGTTTTTTTGTTTGTTTTGTTTTGCTTTTCGAGACAGGGTTTCTCTGTGTAACTGCCCTGGTTGTCCTGTAACTCACTCTGTAGACCGGGCTAGCATCAAATTCACAGAGATCCATCTGCCTCTGCTTCCCGAATGCCAGGATTAAAGGCGTGTGCCACCACCTCCCAACTAGCAGAGTACTTCTTGAGGGCAAACAGAGTACTTCTGTCAAACATCTGGCATCTCCATAGTTAAAGGGAAAAAATATGCAGCCTTGATATGCTGGCGACAGATATGTATATTTCATGTGGATTAAAATACATACATGAACAAATATTTACCTCCATTTCTTCAGTGAACTTCATAAAGGAGAACAGTCAATCCCTCATTCAGAGGATGAACATCATAGTTACCAAGCAAATCTCAGACGATCTGTTTGCACGAAGCGTTCTCAACTATGAAGAAGTCGCCAATATTTGCTGTAAGAAGGTAGATCAGGACGCTGCACGAGAAATCATTCATATGATTCTGAAGAAGGGCTCAGAGGCCTGCAGCCTCTTTCTTAAGTATCTTGAGAAGTGGGACTCTACTATGTATCAGGACTTAACTGGACAAAGTAAGTATTGCTTTGCTCACCTCTGTCCCACCATAAGGACCTAAACCGTGCAGAACACCCCAGTCCCTGCCATGGAATTTCAGCTCGTCCTCCTCCTTTGTGTGACTGGTCAGGGACTTTGAGTCATTCACGGCAGACATTTGACAGTGGAGCCATAGAAGTAACCCCAGAGCCGGGCAAGAAGTGAGTTAAGTATAGCCTCCCTTCAAAGTACAAGTGGAATGCTGCCTGTGGGGGCATCGGCTACTATGGGAGCTCTGGGGAGAATGAGGAAGGTGGAACGAGAGGTTGAAGCCAGACTGGGCTATATCAATGTGCTGTCTGAAAGAAAACATTTAACTAGAACACCACCACACGTAGCCAGCAGTCTTCAGTCGGTCATCTGTCTCCTGCCGCGGTGACATGGAAAAGTCACCGTTGCTCTTTCCATTGGGACAGACATTTCATCATCATCGAGCTGGACCTCCAACTCCTCATTTTAACTATTTTAAATGAATTAATCGTGTAATTGACTAAAATTTACCCCACCCTACATTCTCAGCCCAGCCTTTTACTTTTCTTAACTGAGACCAAGGATCCTCTCATTTTCTGCTCATCTGCTGCTGTAAGATTTGATGGCAAGAAAAGGGAAAGGGAAAGGGAAGGTAAAGAAGAAGGGATGAGGGGAAGAGGGCCCGGGGAGACTGATGGGTGTTTGGAGCCTGCCATGGTATCTTAGAACCAGGAGAGAAAGAGAAAGTCATCCCCTGCTGATTCTCGGCACCTTTGCCATTCATTCCTCTGATCTCTGGGCTTTGAGGATATCTTGGTCAGAGTTTCTATTGCTGCAACGAAACACCATGACTGAAAAGCAAGTTGGGGAGGAAAGGATTTATTTAACTTACACTTCAGCACTGCTGTTCATCACTGAAGGAAGTCAGAATAGGAACTCAAGCAAGGCAGGATCCTAGAGGCAGGAGCTGATGCAGAGGCTATGGAGGGGTGCTACTTACCGGCTTGCTCCTCATGGCTTACTCAGCCTGCTTTCTTATAGAACTCAGGACCACCTGCACAGGCATGACACCACCCACCATGGCCTGAGCCCTCCCACATTGATCACTAATTGAGAAAAAGCCCTACAACTGGATCTCAGGGAGGCATTTCCTCAGCTGAGGCTCCTTCCTCTCTGATGGCTCTAGCTTGTGTCAAGTTGACACAAAGCCAGCCAGTTCAGAGGCGATGCAGAATCTACTCCTCCATAACATCATCTCTTCTCTAACAGGTATTTTTCATCAGAACACAGATGAAGACTTGAATGTCCTGGCTCAGAATTTAAAATACTTATATGACAGCCCTGCCTTTCTGAACTTCTACCCCCTGGGTCAAGATATCGACATCATTTTTAATCTGAAGCGCACCTTCACAGAACCTGTCCTGTGGAGGAAGGACCATCGTCATCACCGTGTGGAGCAGCTAACCCTGGGCAGTCTTTTGGAGGCTCTCCAGAGCCCCTGCCTCATTGAAGGGGAGTCTGGCAAAGGGAAATCCACCCTGCTACAGAGAATTGCCATGCTCTGGGCCTCTGGGGAGTGCAAAGCTCTGAACAGGTTCAAACTGGTCTTCTTTGTCCGCCTGAGCAGTGCCGGCTGCGGACTGTTTGAAACAGTGTGTGATCAGCTCCTGACTGTACCCGACTCCATTAGCAAGTCAGGGTTCATGGCTATGCTGGTGAAACTGCAGCAGAAAGTCCTCTTTCTCCTCGATGGTTACAACGAATTCCAGGCCCAAAACTGCCAAGAAATCGAAGACCTGATAAAGCAAAACCATCGTTTTAAGAACATGGTCATTGTCACCACCACCACCGAGTGCCTGAGACACATCAGACACGTTGGCGCCTTGACTGCCGAGGTTGGGGATATGACAGGAGACAGTGCCCAGCTTCTCATCCAAGAAGTACTGATAAAGGAGCTGGCTGACGGTCTGTTATCCCAGATCCAGGTGTCCAAGTGCTTGAGAAATCTGATGAAGACCCCTCTCTTTGTGGTGATCACCTGTGCAATCCAGATGGGCAGGAAGGAATTCAAAGATTACACACAAACCACGCTGTTCCAGACTTTCTACGACCTCCTGATAAAGAAAAACAAACATAGACACAGAGGTGGGGCTGAGAGTGATTTTGTCAGGAGCCTAGACTGCTGTGGAGACCTGGCCCTGGAGGGCGTGTTCTCCCACAGGTTTGCCTTTGAGCCTGAGGATCTGTCCAGCATGAACGAGGATGTCCTGGTGGCCACTGGGCTCCTCTGTAAGTACACAGCTCAGAGGCTGACAGCCAAGTATAAATTCTTTCATAAATCATTCCAAGAGTACACAGCAGGACGCAGACTTAGCAGCTTGTTGATTTCCAGAGAACCGGCCGAGGTGAGCAAGGGGAATGAGTATCTGCAGAGAATGGTTTCCATCTCCGACATCACATCCCTGTACGGCAATCTGCTCCTCTACACGTGTGGGTCGTCCACAGAAGCCACCAGGGTTGTCTTGAGGCACCTTGCACTGGTGGCTGAGCATGGCAGCTTACAAGGGCTTTCTGTCCCCAGGAGGCCTCTCTGGAGGCAGGAATCTCTACAGAGCATGAGAGACACCACTGAGCAAGATCATCTGAAAGCCAAGAATGTAAATTCTTTTGTGGAGTGTGGCATCAATTTATTCTCTGAGAGCATATCTAAAGCAGCGCTGAGCCAAGAATTTGAAGCTTTCTTTACCGGTAAAAGTTTATTCATCGACTCAGAGAACATTCCTGATTACTTATTTGACTTCTTTGAACAATTACCCAATTGTGTAAGCGCACTGGACTTCGTGAAGCTGGACTTCTATGGAAGGGCTACCGCTTCCCAGGACAAGGCTGTCGAGAACAACCCTGGAGTCCACCTGGAAGGCCCCTCAGAAACCTACATTCCCAGCAGGGCTGTGTCTTTGTTCTTCAACTGGAAGCAGGAATTCAAGACTCTAGAGGTCACTCTCCGGGATATCAGCAAGTTGGATAAACAAGACATCAAACATCTGGGGAAGATATTCAGCTCCGCCACCAACCTTCGGTTGTACATCAAGAGATGTGCGGCTGTGGCTGGAAGTCTCAGCTCAGTCCTCCGGACTTGCAAGAACATCTATTCCCTGGCTGTGGAAGCCAGTGCCCTCACCGTCGAGGATGAGCAGCACATCACGTCTGTGACAAACCTCCAGAACCTGAGCATCCACAACTTGCAGACTCAGGGGCTGCCAGGTATGGGTGCATCCCAAGGATGTAATCAAGCCTGGCTGGTCCTGTGCTAGTGCTGGATGCTGAAACTTCTGGTAACAGCTCTAATGCTTTCTTATCTTCTCGGCGCATCCCTGAACCTGACTTACCCTCTCTGTGTTTCCTCTGTCCTTCATTTCAGCTGCCTTGAGGCTCTCTGTAGCTCCTGCCTCCAACTGCAATCTGGAAGTTTTCAGCTGCCAAAGATTTACGTGTTTTATGTCTCTCTCTCCCCTCTCCTCTCCTCTCTTTCCTTCCTCTTCCCTCCCCTCCCCTCTCCTCTTCTCTCTTCTGTCCTCTCCATTCCTCTCTTCTCTCCTCCCCTCTCTCCACTCCCTTTCTTTTCCCTCCCCTCCTCTTCCCTCCCCTCCCCCTCCTCCCCTTCCCTCCCCTCTTTTCTTCTCTCCTCTCCTCTTCTATCCTCTCCACTCCTCTCTTCTCACCTCCCCTCATTTCTCTCCTCTCCCTTTCCCTTCCCTCCTTTCCTATCCTCTCTTCACTTCCTGTTCTTTCTTCTTCTCTCCTTTCTTACCTTCTCTGGTTTCCTCCTCACCTAAGTTCCATCCACTTTTTTTCCCTTTCCTTTCTCAGTCCCTTTTTCAATACAGGGTCTCACGTAGCCCAGGCTTGCCTCACACCCACTGCAATCCTCTTGCTTCACCCCCCAAGTGCTGGGATTATAGGCATGATCACCATATCTGGCTATCTTTTATCTCTCTGTTCAATTCCATTAAATTTGAACAGCATGCTTCCAGCTGAGTACACCACCCATTTCTGACAAAATAACCATGTTTATGTGACTGTCGTGAGCACTAGCTGCCCTTTGTGATAACTAAAGTCTTTGATTAGTAATAGGAATGACAGTGGTGGCAAACAAGGACAGCACCAGGGAGGGACACATGCCAATCTGTTTTCCTTTGGCAGGTGGTCTGACTGACAGCTTGGGTAATCTGAAGAACCTTGTGAAGCTCGTCCTGGACAACATTGGGATGAAGGAGGAAGATGCTAAAAACCTAGGTCAGATATTTGTTTCTTTAATATTTTGTCTGTTTCTTTAATTATTTATCTTTTTATTTTATATGCATTGGTGTCTTGCCTGCATGTATGTCTGTGTGAGGGTGTCAAATTTAGAGTTAGAAACAGTTGTGAGCTGTCATGTGGTTGCTGGGAATTAAACCTGGGTCCTCTGGAAGAGCTGTCAGTGCTCTTAACTGCTGAGTCATCTTTCCAGCCCTTCTTTAGTATTGTTATTCCTGTAGGTACGATGGTAAGAATGGTTAGTTTGAGATTATTTGGCACAAGTTGCATCTATAAAAGGCAAGATCCTTATGTGTGGGGGACATGTGCATGGCACGGTTTATGTGTGGAGGTGTGGTGGTTTGAATAGGAAGAGCCCCCAGCTGGGTACTGGTAGTGGCACATCACACACCTTTAATCCTAACACTTGGGAGGCAGAAGTGGGTGGATCTCTGTGAGTTCAAGGCCAGCCTGGTCTAAGGAGTGAGTGCTGGGACAAGCACCAAAGCCACACAGAGAAACCCTGTCTCAGAAAAAAAAAAAAAAAAGACAAAACATCCCCCATAGGCTTATATATTTCAATGCTTAGTAACCATAGAGTAGAACTCTTTGAAAGGCTAAGAAGGATCAAGAAGTATGCCTTTGTTGGAGGAGGTGTGTCACTGGGGGTGGGCTTTGAAGTTTCAAAAGCCCATGGCAGACCCAGTCTCTCTCTCTCTCTCTCTGCTGCCTGTGAATCACAATGCGGAACTCTCAGCTACTTCTCCAGCACCATGTCTGCCTCTGTGCTGCCATGCTCCCTACCATAATGACAAAGGATAACTGGAAATCTCTGAAACAGTAAGCCAGCCCCAATTAAATGCTTTCCTTTCTGAGAGTTGACATGATTGCTTGGCGGTGGTGGCACACGCTTTCAATCCCAGCACTTGGGAGACAGGCAGGTGGATCTCTGTGAGTTCGAGGCCAGCCTGGTCTACAAAGACAGTTCCAAGACAGGCTCCAAAGCTACACAGAGAAACCCTGTCTCATAGTGTCTCTTCACAGCAGTAGCACAATGACTAAGGAGCTCAGAGGATGACTGTGGAGTCTGTCCTCACCTTGCACCTCATTTGAGACAGGGTCTTTTTGTTGACTGTTGCTGTATTCTGTATATGTGGCTTGATGACCCAGTAGCTCCTGGAGAATCTCTTGTCTCTGCCTGCCAATCAGTGTAGGAGCACAGGGAATAAAGACACATGCTACATGCTTAGCTTTGAGTTCTGAGGATTTGAACTTAGGTCATTGTGCATGTGCTGTGTGTACTCACTGAAACATCTCCCTGGCCCCAGTAATCTGTGTTATGAACTCATGACCACCTTGCTCTCTTGGGTCATGCTCCATCTCCCAGGAATCCTTCAGCAGGATTCCATTCATACTGTACCCCATTTATGTGTGACCTTTTTTTGGAGAGAAAATCATCAAGTGTTTAATTCCCCTTGATGATGTAAGAATTTAAAAGAGAAATGAGATGCAGGAAGGAAGGAACCCAGGAACAAAAGTGGAACTCATAGCTTGCCACAGAGCCCAGGGCCTCGAAAATGGGAGGGCTGAGTGGAAGTCACTTTTCTGCAATGTCCCTGCTCTCCTTTCTCTTTCGTCATATTTTCTCACCTTCTCTCTTTTGTTCTCTCTCTTCCCTCCTGGGCCCTGCATAAAATGTTTCTCTCTTTGTTCAGCCTTGTCCTTCATTTCACTTCGTGCCCAAATATAACTCTGTACAATAACTAAAATGTGGATGACCTCTTTTTCCTTATATAATAATCCAATTGATTTAGAATTCAGCAAACACACATTGCATACCTATGAGCTCCCCAGGCTTTCAAAGGACCTCAGCACATCTGCTTCAGTACATCCACTTCACAGAAAGTCACCTGTTCCTAGAACGGCTTGCTGATTCGCCCAGGATCTCTGGAGTGCTCCCCAGGACACTGTGCTTGCTTTATTAAAGAATCCAAATGCAAAGCCAGGCAGTGGTGGCGCACACCTTTAATCCCAGCACTTGGAAGGCAGAAGCAGGTGGATCTCTGTAAGTTCGAGGCCACTCTGGCCTACAGAGTGAGTTTCAGGACAGGCTCCAAAGTCACAGAGAAATCCTGCTGTAGAAGACCGCTTGTTTGTTCCCAGATGCTCAGCCCCAAAATAACCACACAGAAACTGTATTAATTAAATCACTGCTTGGCCTATTAGCTCTAGCTTCTCATTGGCTAGCTCTTATATCTTTCTTTAACCCATTTTTATTATTTTATATTTACCATGAGGCTTGTGGTCTACTTTGGCAGCAGCATGAGAAGGAAGTTCAGGGAGAGCCTGCGACCTATGGTGGGAAGAGAGAGATTGTTCAGAAAAAGCACACGTGGTGGTTGCGGGGTGGGGAGGTGGAGGGGTAGGGAGGCTGCAGAGGTCCCTGAAGGCAGAACCAGTCAGTCGAGGGAGGTGAGTGCTGTGGCTTTTGGAACCCAGGTGCTTCTGCAGTTTGGGTGGCAGCTGGAGACTTTCAGAGAGGCTACAACAGGAAAATGCCAAACTTACTCACAGACTTAAGGAGAAAAAGAAAAAAAAAAACCTAGCTGGGTGGAACTGAAGCCCCATGTGGAGCTCTGGCCTGTGCTGATGGCTAGAAAGTCACAGGCAAACAGCTTTTTCGTGAATTTGTATCCCAAACATTGGGTAACAGCTATAGCTCAAATAAGAAAAGTCCAGAGCCTGGGCGGTGGTGGCACACGCCTTTAATCCCAGCACTCGGGAGGCAGGCGGATCTCTGTGAGTTCGAGACCAACCTGGTCTACAAGAGCTAGTTCCAGGACTGGCTCCAAAACCACAGAGAAACCCTGTCTTGAAAAACAAAACAAAACAAAAAAAGTCCAGAGATAGATATTGGGGTTCAACCTGAATATCAGAAAAGCAAAGCAGCCAAGTTACTAGAGAACTCTTACCTCAGTGAAATCTTCAGACAAAAAAGAATGAGTTCCTGTCTCGTCTCATTCTGCCTTATATTTCTCCCTAGTGTTGGAATTAAAAGCATGAATCACCACCACCTGGCCTCTATGGCTAACTAGTGTGGCTTCTGGTATTAAAGGTGTGTGCCACCACTGCCTGGTTGACAAGTGCGGCTGCTTTGTACTGATCTTCAGGCAAGCTTTATTTATTAAAACACAAATAATATGCCACTATACTACTGATTGAATCACATACATTGTAGTGATATTTTGTTTATGTTCTTACAAATAAAGCTTGCCCAAAGGTCAGAGTGCAGAGCTTAGCCACTAGAGGCCAGGGAGTGCTGGCACACACCTTTAATTCCTGAACTAAGGAGACAGAGGCAGACAGATCTCTGTTGGTTCAAGGCTAACCTGGGCTATGCAAGATTGAATCTCTAAAAGAGAAACAGAATTTACACAAAGGTTATCCTTGCACTTGGGATCCCATGCCTTTAATCCCAGCACTAGGAAGGTGGAGACAGGAGTGATAGGGACTGTTAGACAGGCGACAGGAACATAGGGTCGTCTGAGGTTTGGTGTGGACAGCTGCAGCTGGAGGTTTAGAGGAGACAGATACAGTCTGGTGATGCAGTCTGAGGACACGATCGCCCCTTCAGTCTGAGCACTGGTAGAGGTAAAAGGTCTCTCTAGTGCCTGACACTCTGCTTCTCTGATCTTCAGCATTAACCGCTATATCTGACTCTGGGTTTTTAGTATTAAGAACAACTAGAATTCATGCTTCAATACATTATCTTCCCTAAGCTCCTAACCATGGGGATTGAGAAAACCTTGGTCTGAGGGATGCACCTCTATGGTAGAGCACTTGCCTGGCATGCACAGGGCCCGGGTAAAAACTCCAATACCAAAGAAAAAGTGGAGAGGGAGACAGCTAGGATCCAAAAGTCACCATGTATTTATTTCATGTGTACCATTGACTCAGGATATGTATTGATGATTTAAGTTCTATCTAATCAATCCTGAAAGCTACTTCAATGCCAGGCCTAAGAATGAGGGGCACTCTAGACCGCCTTCAACTGTACTGTGGGTAGAAGCGTCCACTGACCCTGGCTGAACATACTGCTCCCGGTGTAGTGTTCACTGGAGGGAGTCAGTCTGTCCCGTGTCACAGTCCAGGGCCAGGCAGTGGCATTAGCCCTCCAGGTGGCTGTAGCACCCGCTGCCCCTCTGAACTCAGCCTCTTGAGGGAAGTAAAGACCAGGAAGAAAGAGCATGTCTGGAATCTAGCAGTGGGGCAGCCTTGGCAGGAAGCTCCTGAGCCAGCCGGGCTAAATAGCAAGACTCTCCCTATGTAGAAAACAAATAAATGCATAAATATTTTTTAAAAGAACATGAAACTGAGGGCCCGAGGGGTGGCTCAGGGGTTAAGATCACCGGCTGCTCTTCCAGAGGTCCTGAGTTTAGTTCCCAGCACCCACATGGTGGCTCTCAGCCACCTGTAATGAGATCTGGTGTGCAGGCAGAACAGTGGACACATAGTAAATAAAGAAATCTTTAAGAAAGAAAAAGAAGACAAAACTGTTTCTTCCTAGTTGTCATCCTTCCTGTCCGCGAATCTGGGTTTAACCAGATAAACGTGGTCTGCTCATATATTTCTTTCCCCTTTTCTCGTAGCCAAAGGTCTGGGAAACCTGAAGAAGATGAGCTTATTTCATTTGACTCGTTTGTCTGATATCGGGGAGGGGATGGACTCCATAATTGAGTCTCTGTCGGGAGAACCCTGTGACCTGCAAGAGATGAAGCTGGTGGCCTGCTGTCTGACGGCGAATTCTGTGAAAACCCTAGGTAATCAGGGGAACCCTTGCGTCCCTCAGTGGACGCACAGCAGAACACGGACGCTTTGTCCAACTCAGAATTAAAATTATTAATGGCAATAAGAGAGGACTGCAGAATAGTTGAAGAATTATAACCTTAAGAAAAAGCTATAAGTAAAATTTTTTTTTAAATTCCCCATCTAAAAACATCTCTCACCCCAATTTCCACCATTTTTGTCATGGTACCATAGTGTCGTGATAATAGTGCATCATCATATATAATGATGGCAAAAGAGGATTGCCTCCATGTTATAGGCTTCCTAGTCTTCCCTTTGCTCTGTTATGATGGACTTAGAATACAGTGATACACCACTTACTTCAGTCTTTTGAGTTCCCAAATATCATGCATACCAATTACAGAGAAAACTTTGCATATTTTTCAATAAACTCTTCAATTCAGACATGTCTTAAAATTGAGAGTTTGGGGCTGCAGACATGGATCAGCAGTTAAGATCACTGACTGTTCTTCCAAAAGACTTGGGTTCCATTCCTGGCTCGTACACGGCAGCTTACCACCATCTGTATTAGGTCTCAGTGATTCAGTACCCTCTTCTAGCACACACGTGGTACCCAGCCATGCATGCAGGCAGGACACCCATACAGGAAGTCATTTTTAAGGATTTAGTTTTTGAAAATCGATTTAATATTATTTATCTGTCTCACTATATATCTCTGGTTAGCCTGGAACTTGCTGTGTAGATCAGTCTTGCCTCGTGAATGCTGGGTGAAAGGTGTGTCGCTCTGGAAGTCATCCTATGGGGGCTAGAGATGACTTGGAGGCCAGGAGAGTTTGCAGCTCTTCCATCAGACCTGAGTGGTTCTCAGCACCCACTTTTGGCAACTCACACCGGTCTGAAACTCCAGCTTCAAAGGATTTGGTGCCACCTTCTGGCCTCTGTGGCAACTGCACTCCCTTGCATATCCCCTCACATAGAAACAAACACACACACTTACGAATAAAAATAAATCAAAAAATAAGAGTATAATAGTGCTGGGAATCTCTAAAGACTGCCATGTTTACACTGATATAAACTTACAGCTGAAGAAGCCAATGGTTGGAAAATCTAGACTGATACTGGGAACATAAAATGATTAGAACATGCCTTCATGTCTCCACTTTCACCAATAAACTATAACGGAGAAGAGAAAATATAAATATTGATGAAAACTTCATCTGCTTTTTAAATAGAAATTGACCTTTAATTTGTTGTAGTAAAACCTTTTTTGCTGTGATACAAAGTACCGTTTTAGTAATGGTATCTTGTTCTTCAGATCCCTAGTGCCTACCACTACCTGTCACATCCCACCAGGGCCTGTGACCTAGGAGACTCCGACCCTAAAGCTGTGTGAGAAACCAATCAAGAACCATTGAGCTGTTCTCAGTTGTTTGAGACGGAGAACAGCTGAAGGTGGAAACTTGTGCCCCTTGAAAAGCCACGTGAGACAGTTTATCCCTTTAAGAAAATGTGAGAAGTGTCCAGGTGTGGTAACGAACACCTTCAGTCCCAGTACTCAGATGCCAAAGGCAGGGGGATTTCTGTAAGTTTGAGAGTTTGAGGCCATTCCAGGCTACCTAGTGAGACCCTATCTTAAACAAACAAACAAACAAACCGAGTTCAATAAAGAATAAACTACAAAGTAGTGTCTAGAATTACAAACTCTATATTCCATGCAACTTCAGGCACCATGTGATGTGGATTTACTGATCCAAATATAGGGTTAGGAGACACCTGCGCATTCAGTCAAAGCCATGGGAACCAGGGGTCCACCCACCCTACTTCCTTTGAGGAATAATCAAGTCAAATAACAGTGCGTATAGCCGTCAGCAAAGACAACAAAGACACAGAATCCTAAAGATATTGGTAAATGCATATATGGTTACTTGAAAATGTTATCTTTTTTCTTCCAGCACAGAATCTTCACAATTTGGTCAAGCTGAACGTTCTCGATATATCAGAAAACTACCTGGGAAAGGATGGAAGTGAAGCTGTACAGGAACTGAGTAAGAACGGCAGCTCCTCCAGCAGTGTGCTCTTTGCTATGCGTGCTGGGTAGTCAGAAAGAACAGCCTGCAGCTGGGCCTCGGGACCCACACGCACCCTGCTAACTCATCTTCCTGAGGGAGGATGTTTTCTTAACTGCTTTCTCAAGTGCTGTCTTAAACTGCCATTGAGGAACGTGGCCCCACGTCTTTTTTTTTTTTTTTAAGTTTTACTTAATTTGGGGGCTGGAGAGGTTGCTCAGTGCTTAAGAACACTTCGATGCTATGCAAAGAGCCTGAGTTTGGTTCTCAGCATCTAAATGATGGCTCACAAACATTTGTAACTCTAGTTCCAGGGAATCTGATGCCGCCTTCTGAGTTATGTGGGTACCAGGCACAGATGGGTGCACATACGTAAATGCAGGTGAAACACTCATACACAAAAAAATAATAATTGAAAAAAATGATCTGTGTGTGTGTGTGTGTGTGTGTGTGTGTGTGTGTGTGTGTGTGTGTGTGAAGGATGTATGCACACATAAGTGTAGGTGCCTGCAGAGGCCAGAAGAGAGCGTTCCATCTCCTAGATGCTGGAGTTACAGGTATTATGAGTCATTTGGCCTGGGCTCTGGAATAATGGAATTCAGGTCTCCTACAAGAGTAGTGCATGTTCTTTTTTTATTTTTTATTTTTGGTTTTTTGAGACAGGGTTTCTCTGTAGCTTTGGAGCCTGTCCTGGAACTAGCTCTTGCAGACCAGGCTGGCCTCGAACTCACAGAGATCCACCTGCCTCTGCTGGGATTAAAAGTGTGTGCCACCACCGCCTGGCGAGTAGGGCACGCTCTTAACTGTTGAACCATTCCTCCAAGCCCAAGCTTCTGTCTTCTGAGTCATCAGTTTCAGTATCTTCATTGTACCTGAGGCTCTTCCGGTTTGCCAACAACAAGGAAGCTAGTGTTTGATGCTGACGATAAATTTGCTTAAGGATTCAGTGATATGGCCTTTTGTACCCCCAGGCTCATAAGACTGGTTTATATGCATATTGTATCAACTGAGTCATCCAAGGACTGCAATAATCTTATGCTGTCTGGATGTAGCAAAGGACTGTGCATGAGTTCTCAGATGAGCAAAACATTTGGAGTTTTGTGTTGAGAGGGGGTTTTACTCTGCAGCCTGCAACTTGTTAAATAGACAGGGTATCCTTGAAATCACGGCGATCCATCTGCCTCTTTCTTTTTTTTTTAATTTTCTTTTTTTATTTTTGGTTTTTCAAGACAGGGTTTCTCTATGTTGCTTTTGGAGCCTGTTCTGGAACTAGCTCCTGTAGACCAGGCTGGACTTGAACCCACAGAGATCTGCCTACTTCTGCCTCCCAAGTGCTGGGTTTAAAGGTGTGTGCCACCACCGCCTGGCTTGCCTCTGCCTCTTGAATGCTGGTACCAACAGGATTTTTATTCTGATAATGTTGTTACAGGAAAACGAGGCAGGGAAACCACCATGCTCAGACAGTCAGTGGAGGATCAGGAAAGGCTGATCATTCTCTTCATGACTCTGAGCAACTAACTGGACGAGTTCACAGTACACAGAGGCTTTTTAGGGTGGGCTTAAGTTTCTATCAAGGCCACATGGCAAAGGTAAAAATGACATTCACTAGGAATGGTGGTGTGTGCTTTTGACCCCAGCACTTGAATAAGCAAGCAGATCTCTGTGAGCTTGAGGCCAGCCTGGTCTACAGAGTGAGTTCCAAGCCCGTCAAGGATATGTCTCAAAAGAGAGAGGTGTATATGGAGGGTAAGGGCATTTTTCTTTTTATAAAACAAGACAACTGCAAACAGCTGCTTTACCAGACACCTAAATAACCGTTTCTCCCCGGGTGGTCTTTGCGGCTCTGTTTCCTCTCTTTGGGAACAGTAAGATTTTTGAGGTGCCACAGTGGCACGTGGTTATGACAAAGTGATATATATCTGGAATTCACTTCAGAAAAACACACGAGTCTGGTCGGGATTAAGCAGTCTATCCTATGATTTGTTGTTTTTGAAGGTTGCATTATTAGTAATAGTTTTGTGATTACTACAGTGTTTATATATTGGAATATTTTCTTTTCTTTTCTTTTTTCTTTTTTTTTTTTTTTGGTTTTTCAAAACAGGGTTTCTCTGTGGTTATGGAGCCTGTCCTGGAACTAGCTCTGTAGACCAGGCTGGTCTCGAACTCACGGAGATCCGCCTGCCTCTGCCTCCCGAGTGCTGGGATTAAAGGCGTGCGCCACTACTGCCCGGCCATTTTCTATAAAAAATAATCAAGAAAATGTAGATTTGTAGTAAAGATCAAGCAGCCTACAGGGTCACCAGATTCAAAGATCATTCCTTCATCCTCATCCTGTGCAGATTTTAGGTTGATGCTATTCCCGAATCATTCTGTTTCTAGTTGGCAGGCTCAGCATTCTGACACAGCTAACCACACTGATGCTGCCGTGGGGTACGGATGTGATCATCACCCTGCCCAGCCTGCTGAAGCAGCTGCAGGTGGTCCCAGGGCTCCTCAAGCTTGGACTGAAAAACTGGAGACTCGGGGACGCAGAGATCAGAAGTATAGGTAGGTCTGTGCAAACAGGGCCAAGAGAGCAAAGACTGACTTTAAACAGAGCTCCCCCTCCTCTTTGAGACAGGGTTTCTCTGTGGAGTCCTGACTGTCCTGGAACTCACTCTGTAGACTAGACTGGCCTTGAGCTCAGAGATCTAACCTTCCTCTGCTTCCCAAGTGCTGGGATTAAAGACAAGCACCACTACCACCCAGCTTCCTCTTTCTTATTTACTAGGGTCTTATTTCTATTGAATATTAATCTCTGAAAAATTTTATTTTGAAGGTTTTTTTCCCCCTTCTTGTTTTCCCGTGTTGTCTCCTGCTGTTGTTTGAATATGTCTCCTGAAACCACATGCATAAAACAAGACCCATGGCACAGCTCTGGGAGGTGGGAACTCAGATGTGGTCAGCTCATGGCCCACCCTCCTGGATGAGAAATGCAAGTGTAGATGGGATTGAGACCGGAAGACTGAGCTCGTGCTTACTTTTCTTCACCCCTCATCCTTCCGCCACAGGGAGAGACAGGAGAAGGCCTTGCCGCGCGTTAGTCCCTCAGCCTTGGCCATGAGTCAATACGTGTCTGTTTGTTGTGACGTGTACCAGCCTGTGATATTCTACCACAGCGACACAAAACAGTAATAACACCCCTTTCCGTGGGTGTTGAGTTGAAACTCAGTCTTCTTTGTTGGAGTCTGCTCTCAGATGGCTCTTCTCATATTGTAGAGTGAGGTACAAGCTGAGAAGACTCTTTGTGTCTAAGGGAGAAGACTTAAAAAATTATTCTATGTGTAGGACTGCTTGCATATGTGTATGTAAACCATGCATGGAGCCAGAAGAGGGGGTTGGATCCCCTAGTATTGAACTTATGGGTGGTGTGAGAGTTGGGAACCAAATCCTGGTCCTCTGCAGGAGCAGTAAGTGCTCCTAACTCCATTCTAACCCTCCAGCCCTGGAGATGACTTTTGATTGTTTGGCTGGGGGGCAGGGGTGGTGGTGGTGGTGGTGCAGGAAACCAGACATGCAAGTGGCTTTGGAGGCAACTGAGAACCTTCCAGTCTTCCTCCTAGAGCACACAAGGCCAGTTACTGGTGTCCTGGGACGGGGGAGGAGCAGTGCCTGCTGCTTCTGCGTACGGGCTCTCAGGTCCCCTCTCACAGCACCTTACAGGTCATCTTGTTAGTGGGTGACTTCACGTTAAGTTGTAAGCTCAAGGCGCCAAGGACTATGCCCTGTGTGTGGTACACGGCAGATAAATGCTTGCTGAATACATGGCTAGTGCCATCATGTATTACTTAGGGCCTATTTTCAGGCTCCAGGTTCCAGGGTCCAGCCTAGCATAGTGGGGAAACGAGAAGCAGGAATTGAGGAAGCTGTCACATTGCATCCACCAATTGGTGACAGAGAACAGGAATCAATGCATGCATTGGGCTGTTTAGTTTTCTTCCTCCAGTCAGGGAATGGCGGTACCAACAGTAGGCAGGCCTCACCGCCTCAATGAATGCAATCAAGAGAACCCCCACAGGCGTGCCAAGAGGCCCATCCTGCAGGTGATTCTTGATTTGGGCAAGCTGACAGTTAACGCCAGCTGACCTGACAGGGGCTCAGGAGAACTGAAGGGTGATGTTAGAGATGTCTGCGGAAGGCACGTGAAGTTTGGCCATTTGCAGTCTCCTAAGCCTATAGATGGCCAAGCTCCAAATGCCCAGATTTTCTTCCTGTTGGATCTAGTTTGATCCCGATCCAGTCACCAGAAAGCATGTCCTTAGACTGTGGAGACTACTGCTTGTTTTTCCTTCCTGTGTTTGCACACAGTCTGATAATCACCCAGGAAATTCAGCTAAGATCCTCAAACTGAAGCAGAGAGCCACAGAAGCAGCTTGACTTTTCTACATTCCTATGGGTAGTGGAAAGAAGTCGCTCCCTGGGGAGAAAGCCCACAACCTGGAAAAAAAAAAAAAAAAAAAAAAAAAAAAAACATTTTGAGTTCCTGCTATGCTGGGAATAAAATGGGGTGCAGGCTGGGAGAAGAAGAGTTTTGACGGCCTACAGAAAGAGTTAGAAAGGGAGGCGAGGGCCGGTGTGCCTGGTGAGCTGGGCACAGCCGTGGCTGACTGGAGCCTAAAGCTGACTCCCTTCCCATCCTGTAACACACAAATGTGCAGTCCAAGCAGATGGGGCAGCTGCACCCCGCACATCTTTCCCTGACAGCTGCTACTCTGACTCCTTCATTCCTTATTTTTAACTTCATGGTCATAGCTGTTGTCATGTGGGCATGTCGAGCCTCGTGGGAGGAGACAAGTGAGAGCCGATGGCTACTTCTTTTCAAAGTGACCTGGAAGTGACACACCTCATTTCTGCTTCTGTTCCCTTGGTAGAAACTTAGATACATTTAACAAGAGGTGTGGGATTAGCAGTTTGTCGTCTAAGGGAGTTAAAGCATAGAAAATGGGGTGGAAGGACGGTCTCAGTAGACGGTAGCACAGATCTGAGAGAAGGCAGATGCCTGGGAGCCACCTCCTCACCTGGGTTTCCTCACTTCCTCCTCTTCTCTCTCGATTATGGCATTTGTGGTCTCTGGTGTCTGCAGCACGTCTGCCCAGGACCTTCTGGCTTTCATGGTTTTCATTGTGTAATTCTGATAGGTCTACCTTTATATGTTACTTGACCTTTTTCTTTTGCAGCTTTTAATATTCTTTCTTCATCCTGTATGTTTAGTGTTTTGATTAATATGAGCAAGGGAACTTTTTTTTTTGGCCCAATCTATTTGGTGTTCCATAAACCTAGTATTTCATAGGCATGTTCTTTAGGTTCAGAAAGTTTCCTATGAGTTTGTTGGATATATTTTCTGTGCCTTTGAGCTGTACTTCTTCAATTCCTATTATTCTTATGTGCAGTTATTTCATGGTGTCCCAGACTTCCTGAATATTTTTTTGTTAAGAATCTGTTGGATTTAACATTTATTGGGCTGATGAATCTATTTCCTCTATTGTATCTTCAACTCCCGAGATTCTCTCTTCCATCTCTTGTATTCTGTTGTTTATGCTTGCATCTATAGTTCCTGTTCATTTACCCAGTGATGTGGGAATGGTTTCTTATTAATAAAGAAACTGCCTTGGCCCATTTTATTGGATAGAAAATTAGGTAGGCGGAGTATACAGAAGAGAATTCTGGGAGAAAGAAGGTTAGAGGAGGAGTCGCCATGATTCTCCCACTCCAGACAGACGCAGGTTAAGATCCTCCCTGGTAAGCCAGCTCGTGGGCTACACAGAATATTAGAAATGGGTTAGAACAATATGTAAGAGCTAGCCAATAAGAAGCTGAAACTAGCAGGGCCAGGCAGTGTTTGAAAGAATACAGTTTCCGTGTAATTATTTCGGGCATAAGCTAGCCATGCGGGCGGCTGGGTGCCGGGGACGCAGCCCCGCCGCTCCTAACTTCAACAACCCAGATTATCCATTTCCCTTGGTTTGTGTTCTCTTCAGTTTTTAAGTCTTGAACTGTTGCCTCCACCTGTTTGATTTCTTTTTCTTGGTTTTCTTTAAGGGATTTGTTGATTTCTTCCAATTTTTTGTTTGTATTTTCCTCTGTTTCCTTAAGAGAGTTTTTTATTTCCCCTGTAAGGGCCTCAATCATTTTCATAAAGTTATTTTTAAGGTTGTTTTCTTCTGCTTCATCTGCATTGGGATGTTCAGGTCTTGTTGCTGTAGAACCATTAATTTCTGGAGGTGTCATATGCTCTTTGTGTTGCTGAGTGTATTCTTACACTGTTGTCTACCCATCTCTTCCTCCAATCAGTACATGTGGAAACTGTGCCTCAGGAGGACCCTGTTTCTCCAACTGGTGTAGTTGGAGGCTGTGTCTCTGTTGATTGTTTTTCTAGGTGCAGGCAGGGTAGAGCCTCCGGTGATGGCTCTTCCAGATGCAGGGGCCTAAGGCTCGAGTGGTCAGCAGCCTAGGTGGTTGATGCAGTTGGGTATTACATACAGGTTATGGTACTGGGGGCTGGCAGGGACACAGGTGCTCTTTCCCAGAGGAACGTCTTACCATAGTTTCTGGAAGTTGCTGCTGCTGCTCACACTTCTACTCCCCAGAGGGGTCTCTAATTTTAAAAACAACTCCTCAATATCTAACAGCATCTCTCACACTTCAGTGTTTAATCAACTTCCATTTCCAGGAGGAATCAGACTAAGGGAGAACGCACACATCACTTCTATCTACCTTTTGTGCTCATCTACATTAGGCCTTAGGAAACAGAGTCCATAAATATCACGGGCACCGGCACAGACGGCCTGTAGTTCTTTCCTCCCTGGGCGCAACTCTGCTCTAAACATGGTCATTTTAAAATGGAAAAATGCTTCATACATGTGTACAGAGCTCATTTAATTTAATGTCTTTCAATTAACATACTTACCTCTTCCCCCAGGTGACTTTCTGGAGATGAATCCTCTGAGAAACCTGCAGCAGTTGGATTTAGCGGGAAATCGTGTGAGCAGTGATGGATGGCTTTCCTTCATGAACGCATTTGAGAACTTTAGACAATTAGTATTTTTTGACTTTAGTACTGAAGAATTTTTACCAGATGCTTCATTGGTGAGAAAACTTAGTCAAGTATTATCAAAGTTACCTGTTCTGCAAGAAGCTAGGCTCACTGGGTGGGAGTTGGACGACTATGACCTCAGTATCATTAAAGGCACTTTTAAGCTATTAATTGATTAAGGGAACCCAAAGCCACCAAGTACCTCAGAGACTCCTTCACTTTTAGTGGATGATAAAAAAATTCTTGGAGAAAGGGACTGGAGACGGCTCAGTGGTTAGAAGCCCTGGCTGCTCTTCCAGAGGACTTGAGTTTTGATTCCTGACACTCACAAGGTAGCTCATAACCATCTGTCTCTAGCTCCAGGGGATACAACACTGTCTTCTACCTCCCTGGGTATCAGGCAGGCAAGTGATGCACATAAGCATGCAAGCGAAACACTCATACACACACAATAAAATTTAAAAATCCTTAAAAAGAATCTTAGAGAAGGAAGTCCAACATGACAAAGAAGAGGGAGGGGTTTGGCCTCATCTGCACTTAGGACTAACTGGATGTCCTTCGCCTGCTGTGCACGTTCCTGTTACTTGGCCCTAAGAATTCAGGGTCACAACCTGATATACCATGCTCCTCTGTACTCAGTACGGCACCTGGCCTATACAGAACTCAGCGAGTCCTGGATGGATATGTGACAACTAAATTACTAATAAATAAGCCAAAACTGTCTAGAGAATAAGCTTCATACGTGCTACTTAATTACCTGGCTTACTGCAAACACTGTGGAGTGAACAGAGAACCTTCTCACATGAGACATTACCAGACTTGAAAGGCACGTGTTCCGTAAAACAAACACTCATCTGTATGTGCGAGTGGCAATCATCTGTCCTATTGCAAAAGCACAGGCTTTGTTAAAATTAATAAAAAGGGAGGAACTGTATTGGCCAAAAAATGCAGGCCCATTTCCACCCTGTCTGCCGGTCAGAGGGTTTGGAGACTGACAGGCGTAATTGCACCTCCTCAGTCAGGAGGTGGTGCCTAGCTCTTTGGAAATTAAGACAGCTCAGTGCCATCCTGAGGGCTGGTCAGGATATGCAAATGTATTTCTGCTCCTTTCTCAGTAACTATGAGGTCACCTGGGAAAGGGCGGTCTTCAAAATAGGGACCGAGAGCACCTCAGCAACCAAGATGACAAAATGCTAATGATTTGATGTTTCAGAGAGGTAAGGCCATTGACTGTGTGAGTTATCCTTTTGTATCATGTTAATAAAGGCTTTTGTTACCTTCTCCCGCAGTTTAGGTTGGGTTTAAAGGCTATAGAAAAATAAACACGGGTAAATTTCAGGATTTCAGTCACTGGAATGCCCTCCTGATACTTTCTATGTTTTCTGTCTTATTATTTTTATGCATCATAATCTTTACTTATATTTCTTCAATTCCCATGCCTCTACCCTGGTAAGAAATGTTTTTGTTGAGGCCGGTCCTCGACATCCAGTCATCGGGCTTTGTGGTAATAAGTGTCTTTATCTGCTAAGCCATCCACCAGTCCCAAATGGGCATCTGTGGTCAAGTAAAAATTGACAGTTCAAAAGCAGCGCAACCTACTGGGTGGTGGTGGCGCACTTTAATCCCAGCACTCGGGAGGCAGATCTGAGTTCGAGGGCAGCCTGGTCTACAGAGTGAGTTCTAAGACAGCCAGAGCTGTTATAGAGAAACCCTGTCTGGAAAACACGCATACACATGCACAGACACACAAAAGCAGCTCAGCCAGAGGCTTGAAACTCAGGATGTCTCCCAGGAGATCATTGTATGTAATTCCAACTATGACCTCAGAAGTTAAAGAGGGAAGGAAAACTGTATTCTTTTCTTTTATACCTTGCTCTAATCTCTGTACCCCACAGAACTATGGGGGATCCCCTGCTCTAATCTCTGTACCCCACAGAACTATGGGGGATCCCCTGCTCTAATCTCTGTACCCCACAGAACTATGAGGGATACCGTGCTCTAATCTTTTGTCTACCACCTTCCAAAATAACCCTTTCCCACAAAGGAAAAAGAAAAAAAAATGTCTAAAGATGTAAACACAGAACAGTCTGGGGGTAGCGGGGACGAAACACGAGAACCGCGTTAGCCTGGAGTTCATTCTCTGCTCCATGGCACCTCGGGGCGCTGGTCTGTAAGTTACGCTCACTGTTAAATAAAAAGTTCTTGGTATAATATCTACTTAGCAATTGGACACATCTTGTGCACTTTTAATTATATAAAATTTTAAACCCAATCATTAAAAAATCAACTAATTCTTTCCCCTCCCTCCCTAACTGTGCAAATGAGAAATGGTTACAAAACTATTGATATATAAGAATGCCAAGATTGGGATAAAAGTCTTTTATCCATTATTAAGTCTGTTAAAAATATCTTGACTAAAATATCCAATTTTACAACAAAAAAATATATTTAAGCCAGGCAGTGGTGGTGCATGCCTTTAATCCCAGCACTTAGGTGGCAGAGGCAGGTGGATCTCTGTGAGCTTGAGGCCAGCCTAAGTGAGTTCCAGGACAGCCAGGACTACACAAAAAGAATCTGTCTTAAAAAACTAAACAAAACAAATCAAAACTCTATCTATCTATCTATCTATCTATCTATCTATCTATCTATCTATCTATCTATCTATCTGCATGTATATACATGTATATGATGTTTTATTCATAAAATGAAACATTTTAAAGCTAGTTTATTAAAATGAGACAAAACTTCCATTACTGTTGGTGTTTATGTAACATAGGTTACATCAGTAAACTGCCATGTGTTCGTTTAAGCTAAGAAGGTGCTGTGGAAGTGGGGTCACCCCACTCCCATTTCAGACCCAAACAAGTCTCAAAGCGTCCTCCGACACCCCATCTGGGGACGGACAGACAGAGAGGGAGAACAGCAAAGCAGCCCAAGGTTAGAGCATGCGCCCTGAGAACAGCTAGGTGAGCCACTTCCACGAGGGGTTAGCAGTTTGCCCCTGATACGGAGGTGCCCGAGGAGGGAGAGAAGCTCAGTCAGGAACTGTAGTCTCCTTTAGTTCCCAGGTGCGTCTGTAGGGTGCGGTTGCCTCTCACCAGATGATTTTATCTCTGTTGCTAATTGTCTTTCGCTTGGAAGCCTCCCTAGAAGGGACACTCTGCTCTGCCAGACTCTACAGCTCTGCGGCTGGCCGCCTTACAGGAGCTCCCCAGGGGGTTTCAGTCGGATGTTCCCGGCGCCCGGCTGATGATGTCTTGCTACCTATCTTCCTATCTCTTGCTGTTTTTTTTTTTTTTTTTTTTTTTTTTTTTTTACCTTGACTTGCTATAATCTTAATAAACTTACTCATTCAAAACCAAAGTCTAGCTATTGTAGTCAATGGACAATTGACTAAATGTAACATAGAAAACTGGAATTTGTTTTTTAATTCATTCCATTTTACCAAAGGTTTGGTATTTGTAACCAAATAAAACACTGAGAAGAGGGCTGGAGAGATGGCTCAGAAGGTTAAGAGTATTGCCTCCTCTTCCAAAGGTCCTGAGTTCAATTCCCAGCAACCACATGGTGGCTCACAACCACCTGTAATGGGGTCTGGTGCCCTCTTCTGGCCTGCGGGCATACACACAGAATATTGTATACATAATAAATAAATATTTAAAAAAAAAAAAAACAAAAAAAAAACACTGAGAAGAGTGGACTATCTACAAATGTACTTACATTTGTAAATGGAAAAACTTTATTCAAAACCCATTATTTTAAAATGTAGAATATACCTGTATGGTGGCTCAAAACCTACATCCCAGCATTTGGAAGACTGAGGCAGGAGGATTATGAGTTTGAAGCCAGCCTGGTCTATACAGCAAGGCCCTGCTTCAGAAGACTAAAAAGAGTTAAATTGTGCTATGTAGTAGAATATGTCTCACAATTTCTGATAAAAACTTTTGCTTTTTATTTAGCAAGAAATGATCAGGAGGACCTCAAAAATGTACCAATTAAGCTTAGAAAAGCTATAAAAGAGACTTTTACTTTTCAAATGGACACTTAGGCTTTCATTTCCCATGGGCAGACACGCGGAGCACTGGAGGGACGAAGTGTTCTTAGGAAGGGGCACATGGCCTTGCTACTGGAGGTCAGGTCAGGTCACACCACACTGTGGGCAGCTACAGAACAGCCAACGTGCAAGCTTGGAGAGAGGGGCTTTCTGAAGGGAGTCCACCTAACACCCGGGACATTTCCAAAGACCTCACTGCCACAAGAACATTGTACAAAAATAGAGTTTATGGGTTTCATGAAATATGAACAAGCCTGCAATAATCTGACAAATGGTTGAACAGTCAATGCAAGGTGGGTTACTAAGTACACTGGAAGCCAAGGAGTCGATAGTCTCCATAAAAATAAGTTAGAGTCCTTCAAGGTCTTGGCTGTCCTGTCCTGTTGTTTCCGTACCTACTCGGTATATGTGGGAAGGTCGGCCTCAATCCCTGGCCTGCCCCAAATCCTGGAACTGTGAGTCCTTGGCTGAGCACACTGCTGTATGGTGTGTGTCCACGATTGAGACCCAAACCATATGGCCTTGTCTGTGTGTTCAGAAGAATCACCGGGCTCACGTTTTTCCCAGGGGTATTGAAGGCAAACTCCGGAGGCGGGCTGTTAGGTTTGGCTGGTGTTGATGTGACCGGGGTCACAGCATCGGTGCTCTTTAGCAGAGGCATCGGGATGATGTGATGGTCTGAGAAGTGCAGGACGCTGGGGGCCGCGGGCCCAGACATTAAGGCAGGTCTCACCCAATCATCCTTGAAAATCTGAACAGTCAGGGTAGACACAAGTGTGTACAGCCTGTTGGTCACATGAGCAAGAACCATCTGTTCGTTTGCATCGCGTCGGATTCTTACATGGACAGATCCAGCCTAAAAGAGGGAAAAATCATAAAAGACTGCTTAGAATTAAAATACTAAGAATTCTGTCTATAACTTGACTGGTACTTGGTTTTTTTTTTTTTTTTGCTTTTTCGAGACAGGGTTTCTCTGTGGTTTTGGAGCCTGTCCTGGAACCAGCTCTGTAGACCAGGCTGGTCTCGAACTCACGGAGATCCGCCTGCCTCTGCCTCCCCTGCCTCTGCCTCCCAAGTGCTGGGATTAAAGGCGTGCGCCACCATTGCCCGGCGGTATTTTTTTTTAAATAAAAAAAAACATAGCATCTTGCTATTTACTGCTGGTACTAATCAACGTAAATGGTGACTGAATTGATCTGTGACCCTTTAGCTGAAAGAATGCATACAGGGTCCCGAGTTTGATCCCCGGCCCTGCATAAGCCAGGCACAGCACGGAACCGCAGAAAAGCTGGGACTCTATCCAGTGCAGATGATCTGAGAAGACAACTGCCTCTGCCCCAGAGCTGATAACTAAACGGAATTTAAAGAGTAGAAGAAGCGGTTGGCTGTGGTGGCGCACGCCTGAGAGGCAGAGGCAGGAGGATCTCTGTGAGTTTGAGACCAGCCTAGGTTCAACTGAGAGACCCTGCCTCAATATGTTAGTTAGGGGTAATAAGAAAGATACCTGACACCAGCCTCAGGCCCTCCACACCTGTCCACAACCCCCCTTCACACATGAAAATGCATTACAGGAGATAGCTAGTTGGTACAGCCATTCTGAAAGGCAATTTGATAATTTGTATTAAAATCTGTAAAAATTTGATTATTTCATAATTTACAAAACTCACTTCTAAAAACTAATTTTTCTTTTTTTTTTTTTTTTTTTGACAAGGTTTTGGTTTGTCCTGGAACTTGCTATGAAGACCAGGCTGGCTTTGAACTCACAGAGTCCTGGAATGAAAGGCGTGTGATACTGATACTATGCCTAGCTAAAAATCTTAAAGAATAGTCATGGGTATATATAAAAATTATTTCAAAAACTGCTCATCACAGCCTACGTAAACAGGACAAATGAAAACTCATCTAAGTGAGCACCAGAGGACTGACGAAGGCATTCGAGGGTATTTACATAAAATTCTACAGCCAGTAGAGCAGATGCTGGGGAGCCCAGGTGTGTCCTAGTGGCAGAGTGGAAGCAGAGACACCGACCGACCTACAAACCCCAAAGCAGTTAAACAATAGCTGGAGACTGGAAATCCGAGACAGGCAACCGGAGAAAGCAGCCGAGAGCAGAGGGCTCTGGCACACTTCAGAGACGGGCAAACACACTGGATCTGCAATGGAGCCCGGTGAGCTTACAGAGCTAACCAGACATAGCTCCTGTCTAGGACAAAGGCCCACATTAAGAAGATCTGGGGGCGGGGGGAGCTGGAGAGATGAGAGATGGCTTAGCGGTTACGGGCACTGGCTGCTCTTCCAGATGTCCTGAGTTCAATTGCCAGTGCCAGGGATCACATGGTGGCTCACAGCCATCTGTGATGGGATCTGATTCCCTCTTCTGATGTGTGTGAAGATGAAACACTCATATCCATAAACTAAATGAATAAATATTAAAAAAAAAAAGAAGAACTGGGAAGAAGAGAATCTACACTGAGTCCAGCAGAAACAGCGTGTGGGGGAGGTTAGGCCAACAGGAACAGTCAGGGAAAGACAACTCTTCCTCATTAGATCCCCACGTGTTTATAAATGTTGCCCTAAGTAAGCCACTCTTCATTTTAAAGTTCAGGAGGGCTGGAAGGCTTAAAGACAAGCAACAGGGCTGGGTGACGCTGTGGCATATGCCTTTAATCCCAGCACTCGGGAGGCAGAGGCAGACGGATCTCTGAGTTTGAGGCCAGCCTGGTCTACAGAGTGAGTTCCAGGTCAGGACTGAATGGGGAAAAAAGGGGGGGTTTTATGGGGTTGGAGAGAAGGTTCAGTGGTCAAGAGCACTGGCTGCTCTTCCAGAGGTCCTGAATTTAATTCCCAGTAACCTCACGGTGGCTCACAACTATCTATCTATAGTGGGATCTGATGCCTTCTTCTGGCATAAAGTCATACATCATATATGCAGATAGGGCATTCATATACATAAAATAAATAATAAATAAATCTAAAAAGAAGAAGAAGAAAGGACAAGCAACAGAAGCCATGCCTTTAATCCCTGCACTTGTAAAGCAGAGGCGGGTGGATCTCTGTGAGTTCGAGGGCAGCCTGGTTTACACAGTGAGTTCCAGGACAGCCAGGGCTACACAGAGAGACCCTGTCTCAAGACAAACGAGCAACAACAACAACAACAAAAAGAACAAACAAACAGAAGTTCATGTAAGTCAGATGTGATGGTGCATGCCTAGAATGTCAGTATTCAGAAGGCTGGGAATAAAAGTCTTGTGAGCTCAAGGCAATCCTGGGATACAAGACTGGGTTCCAGAACAGCCTAGTCTGCAGAATGAGATGCTGTCTCAAAAGAAATCAAATAAATAAACAAACAAAAATATGTATTAGAAGAGTAATAAGAGGGAAAACTGTGAAGCATGAGGTCCCAGATTCAATTCTCCACAGCTCCAACAACAACAACAGCAACAAAAAGCCTCCAGTAGTATCAAGGTTAAATTAAAAAGAAGAAAGAAGGGGCTGGAGAGGTGGCTCAGAGGTTAAGGGCATTGCCTGCTCTTCCAAAGGTTCTGAGTTCAATTCCAACAACCACATGGTGGCTCACAACCATCTGTAATGGGGTCTGGTGCCCTCTTCTGGCCTGCAGGCATACACACAGACAGAATATTGTATACATAATAAATAAATATTTAAAAAAAGAAGAAAAAGATCCTTTAATATCAATAAAGAAACTGAACCTGTCAGTATTTTAGATGCCATTAAATAGAACAGAGAACCCAAGCTTCTGTGAAAATGGTTTAAAGATTTATTTTATTTTTTTGTGTTTTGCCTGCATGTATTTTTTTTTTAAAGATTTTATTTATTATGTGTACAGCATTCTCACTGAACGTATGCCTGCAGGCCAGAAGAGGGCACCAGATTTCACCATAGATGGTTGTGAGTCACCATGTGGTTGCTGGGAATTGAACTCAGGAACTTTGGAAGAACAGGCAGTGCTCTTAACCACAGAGCCATCTCTCCAGACCCTGCATGTATGTTTGTACACTTTGTGTGTCTGGTGCCTGCTGAGGTTGCCCAGGATTGGAATTAACAGAGGCTGTGACCTACCATGTGGGTGCTGGCAATAACTCAGGTTCTCCAAAAGAGCAAGTATTCTAAACACTGAAGCCCCCACCATGAAAATTTTAAAGAAATTCTACTGTAAGTTTTTAAGTTTAAAAACCATGTTTAAATTACACTAAACAAACTTGCAGAAAGCATACCAATGAGCCAAATCCAAGGGTCCAAAAGTGTTCATTTCGGACTTCTAAGACGCCATCCAAGGTAGATACCTAATCAAAACACAGAGCAGTTTATCAGTTACCTGCATTAGACATAGCAATGTATGCATTACAGACTTGCTGAAAGCCTAGAAATGTCTCAGCTAAACCCTGAGCAAGGACACACATCAGCTATCAGAGGTCTCAGTTAAACCCTGAGAAGGACACACATCAGCTATCAGAGGTCTCAGTTAAAGCCTGTTTGTTCAGTCCTGACCCAGGCTGCCCCACTCCTTGAGCCAGGTGCAGCCTGCTCTGGGCTTTACCGTGCTATGGTTTTATTTCTGAACAAGGTAGATAGGTTTGTGACAATCATTTGTGGTGCCTGCTTTCCTCTGTAGGGTGTGTATGTCCATGTTAGCTGTGTCTCTGCCTGGCTCCTCTTCTAACAAACCTCTATTTGAGTGTAGGCTGTCAGTAAATTCCAGCACCAGATACAGCCATGGGGACAGGGGTAACAAAGACATAGGCAGGGCCAGGGTTCAGGCTGGGACATGCATTCAGCTGTGTTGGAAAAGTGGCCTTTGAGACTGACAACCAAGAACTGAGAACAGCGTCAACATCCTAACCAATATTTCTTCTTCATTAGCAGGAGGAATTTTCTTACAAACTAATAAGTCAGGTGGATTATCTTGCAGACACGGACTTTTGCCTTGTGTCTTCAGCCCACTCCCTTCCATGTGTGCTTCCAGTCAACTTAGCTTCCAGACTGAGCAGCTGCTCAAGTGCTCACTTCCGTCCCTGTGCTACAACCTCCACCGTTAGTGAACACAAACTCCCCCGAATAAAATTCTCGACTTGAATAGATTATACCCACCCTTTAACTTCCCTAACATAAACTTTTTAAAAAATGACTTATTTGCTGGGTGGTGGTGGCGCACACCTTTAATCCCACCCAGGCAAACAGACCTCTGTGAGTTTGAGGCCAGCCTGGTCTACAGAGTGAGTTCCAGGACAGGCTCCAGGGCTACAAAAAGAAACCAAAGAAAAACCCAAAAACAAACCAAGAAAAAGACTTCTTTATTTTTCCATCTTACCTCTCTGATCAGCTTGTCCAACTGACCAATAACATGAGGTGGTGTAGTCTAGAAAAATAGAATAAAGCATGAACAGCTAGGGAGAAAATACTTTTGCAATAATGGTTCTGAAGCCCCCTTCACACCTACAGATTTCACACCAGCCTTTGAGTTTTCACATGCGTCCTACTGTGATTTAGAAGAAGAGGTCTCACTGGCTCAGCAGGGTGACATCACTAATTGGCACTCACTCATTTGTGGGGTTTTGTTTGTTTTTGAGAAAACTTAGATTAAGGAAAAAACTGCTGAGAGTAGGAGGGGCTCCCAGAGAGGAAGATGCCAAACTCTTTTTCTTATGAAGAAGCTGCTCTCTCTAGAATCCCATGAGACTTAAGGAACCAACCAGCCAGGGGCTGAGTGATGATGGCTCAGCAGTTAAGAGCCCTCACCACTCCTGTGTGTGGAGAGACACACCTTTGGAGGATCTCTGTGACCACACAGTGAGTTCCAGGGCTGCTAGGGAATTGAAGGAAGACCTTGTCTCAAAAAACCACAAACAAACAAAAGGACCAGTTTGTTCCCTAACTGGAAGATCCCAATTGCCTGTAACTCTAGCTCCAGGGGACCTGAGCTCTCTTCTGATACCTGAGGGCTCCTCCCTGCACAAGCTGCACACACAGACAGATGCTCAGGTGCACACCATCCAATGATGGGAAATAAAAAGAATCACCGGTAGCTGGGCACTGGTGGCGCATGCCTTCAATCCCACCACTTGGAGGCAGAGGCAGGAGGATCTGAGTTCAATGCCAGCACAATCTACATAGTGAGTTCAGGATGGCCAGGGCCTAGAGAAACCCTGTCTTGAAAAACAAAACAAAACCAAGGGTAACTAGACTATGTATAAAACCCAGAGCCTATTTACCCAAAGAAATTAAGTCCCTTAAAAAATACTCAATAATATTGCTTCCCTTTAAAATTCAATTAGAGGCAAATAATTGTAAATTCATGATCACATGCCACAGGGAACACAGAAGAACGTGAGCCTAAAATATTACAGGGCAATGAAATTCCAACCAATTTCTGCTAAACGAGTTTCAGAAATTACTGTTTGACTTCGCTGCTAACACAGCTCTTCAATCTTTAATATTTTAAATATTTATATTTATCTGCTAGTACACATGCCAGGTTTCTACCTGGCAAGAGAACACGCGATGCCGACAAGAGCCTCACCTGGAGAAGGGCTTTCCCACTGTACACACTCATGGGATACATGGTGCCGAAGGTCATCAGGGCAATGGCTATTGCAGATGCGGTGTCTACAGCAAAGTAATTACTGCAAGGAAAAACAACTCTGCATCTTACAATTGATAACTAACAGTCATTATCAAAAACAAAATAATTTTTAAAAAATCACAACAGCTACCTGTCAAGAAAGAACCTAAGAGGAAAAAAAATCCAAACAATCCCCAAAGAGTCAGCTTTAAAAATCCCTGCCTCTCAAAGTTTAGTGGGAAAATAATAACGTCAGTTAGTGTGCAGGGAGACGCGGAGCTAAGCGAGCCTTGCTCTCCACCTCGACGGACCCCACACCAGAAAGACCGCAGGCCTGAAACAAAGACTTCAACCACTAAGTTCTGATTCAGGGATAAATGACTTTCATCAGTGATTCCACCCTTTTTGCTCTCAGAAATTCTTGTGTTAGTACTGAGTTGGGTGTGATGACCCACAGATTGAATCTCAACCATTAGAAGGGAGGGGCAGGCAGAACTCTAAGTTCAAGGGCAGCCTGGTCTACAGAGCAAGTTCTAGGACAGCCAGGGCTACACAGAGAAACCTTGAATTAAAAAGGGAACAGAAGATTTCAGTTTTCCAGGAATCTGTAACAGTGACATTATAGCTGAAGGATTATATTGCATCAATGTTTCAAATTCTAAAGGAGGTGGGGCACATGCCTTTAATCCCAGCCTTTAATCCCAGCACTCAGGAGGCAGAAGCAGGGATCTCTGTGAGTTCGAGACCAGCCTGGTCTACAAGAGCTAGTTCCAGGACAGGCTCCAAAGCTCCAGAGAAACCCTGTCTTGAAAAACCAAAGCCAAACCAAACCAAAACAACAACAACAAAAAACCAATAAAACTCAACACATTTATGTCCCCTTATGGGGAGGGGGGATAGAAACAGAAATAAGACACAGTTTCTGCTGTAGATGGAGCAAGAGTACACAGATAAAAGCTACAGTGTCGCACTGTGTGTGTTAAGAGAAGTCTCAAACTGGTCATGGCACAGACCAGCATGAGGGAGGTAAAAGAAGGAGGATCCACACATGGCCAGCCTTGGCTATGTACTAAGTACTAAGCCCCAGGTCACCCTGGGCTACATGAGGCCTTATCGTAAAAACCCAATAAATAAAGTAATAAAGTAAGAGTAATGATCAAGTCTGAATCTCTATAGGACATTACTGACACACAGAGTGAGCAATGAGGCTACCAGGGTGGGCCTAATTCAGAAAAGCGAGGGCTAGAGAGACGGCTCAGCAGTTAAAGGCAATTGTGGCTTTCCCAGAGACCATTCCCAACACTCACAACGGTCTGCAATTCCACTCCCAGGGCATCCAAAACCTTTCTGGCTTCTATGGGCACTAGGCACATGAAGACATGCATGCAGACAAAATATCCTTACATTAAATAAACAAATGAGGAGTTGAGCTTTCAGAAATGAACAAAATGATGGGAGGAGATATTCCAAAAGTGAGAGCAACGTGGGCGAGGGGATGAAGACCATGATGCAGACACGGACACCGGTCCAGACGGGTGCTGACTGTACAGGAGCCCAAGCTAAAAGCCTTAAAGTTTTACAAACACAGGGATCTGCAAGTGGAAAATCCTGCCGGTTATTGGAAGAGACGAGGACGGTATGAGTAGTAATGTGGAAAACGACTACAGAGATGGTGAGAACGGAAACAGAAGCAAAGACGGTGATGATGACAATGGCTTTAAATAGCGGCAAAATAGCAGAGCAGACAAAAACACATTAAGAAAATACTGGCTGGGCGGTGGTGGCGCACATCTTTAATCAGGCAGGTGAATCTCTGTGAGTTTGAGGCCAGGCTGGTCTACAGAACGAGTTCCAGGACAGGCTCCAAAGCTACAAAGAGAAACCCTGCTTCCAAAAAAAGAGAAAAGGAAAAAAAAGAAAAGAAAAGAAGGAAGGAAGGAAGGAAGGAAGGAAGGAAGGAAGGAAGGAAGGAAGGAAAGAAAGAAAGAAAGAAAGAAAGAAAGAAAGAAAGAAAGAAAGAAGAAAGAAAAGACTGAGTGTGACTGCAAGCAGGGACTGAAATGGTGACTGTATACCTCAGTCCACAGTGCCATTATTCTCAGCAGAGAAAAGGTGGGATCAATCCAAATGTTACCGGCAGATGAGTGGGTAAATACAGTGTGGGATTCAGCCTCAAAAAGAAAGGAAATGCAGATATATCCAACATGGATGACCTGTGAAAACACTGCTATATGAAACACAGGCCAGCCACAAAAACACGATTGTATGATTTTACTTATATTGTAGTTAAAATGAGAAGCAGAATGTAGAATGGTGGTTACCAGGGATTCTGAGAAGGGAAAATAGGGAGGTATTATTTGAATGGGCATAGAATTTCAGTGAGGAATGTGACTGTACAAAAAAAAAAGTGAATGCACTTAACTATATGTTATAAAAATGCTTACAGTGAGAATAAAATCCCAGCATATCAGGACTAGGGAGGTGGCTCAGTGAGTTTTAGCCTTTGCCTCCCAGGCCTGATGCGGAGCCGGCTCACTAAGGCTCAGGTAACAAGCTGGATGTGGTGATCCGCAATCTGCACTGTAATCCCAGAGTTCCCACAGTGAGACGGGAGGCAGGGATAGGAGCAGCCCCAGAAGCCGACAGGCTAGCGAGTCTGGGGCATGTAGCAGATGTGAGGGATCTGGCTTCAGCAAGGCAGGAGCATGCACCCAGATGCCGGCACCCAAACAAACAAATACTAGAAGAGAAAGGACCGTGTGTACTGCACTGTGCACTGCACTGGGAGAGTTAACAGCTGACAGCCGACTCACACAGAAAATGTCAGAAAGAGCGTCCACTGATGGGCCAGGATGCTCAGGTGCGGAAACACGACCAGGAGTCAGGGAGCTAACGCCTTGGAATTCAACGTAAGTATAAAAACGTAATTGCCCGTGACTTTTTAGAAAATATATAAAAAAGATCATAACAACTAAGAGGCCATTACAATACACACCACTGCCTAAAAGGTAAGTCAGCCAGACAACTGAGCTGTAAAATGTTGATCTAAAGGCAGATGTAATGTCTATTTTTAAAAGGCTTTAGTTTTATTTTGAAGCTGCATCTGGCCTGTTCGTCTTTCTCCCTCTCAGCTGCAACAGCAGCTCTGACCTAGACAGCCCTCCTCCTGCCGTTTACCCGTCACGCCAGCAGGAGGAATTCAATCATTTTCTGGCTCTCGTTATAAACTGTGGTGAGGAATACTGACGCCTGCTTCCCTTATTTTTTCAGATGGAAACACTTGAGGATAAGGCCTGACCAAGTTGCACGGGGAATTAGCAAAACTGCTAGAAGCCTAGCCCCAAATCCACCTTGTCAATGCCCTTAAAAAGAAGGTCCCAGGAAAAAGCACACCTGATAGTAATACAATATACTCACTTAATTTCAATCAGCATGTATGTTATACACAGAGCAAACGCCCCAGCAAGGTCAATCAGGACAAATGGATTCATACGGGGCAGGAAGATACTGCTGAGTCCTGGGATAATGCCACACAAACTATGAAAGACCAGACAGAGTATTCGTTAGAAGAATCCACGCACTATCAGTACGAACATTGTTACAGATAAGGTGGACTTTACATCTTACAGCGCAAAGAGGACTCGGGCACAAAGATCTGCCACTGTAGGGAATTCTTCTGCGCCATGGGTTAGAGAGAATGAGAACTGAACTGAGAGCAGCTCCCGCAGTGATCTCAGCTGCAAACCTGAGCTTCCGTGATGGAAACACCTCTGGGAATTCTTGTTAAATCATGAAAGCCAGGAAGTTCCACAGCATCTTACCTTCGACTAAGGTCTGCCACATGCTCTTGAAGCCAGCTCGTACTAGCAGCTTTAAGGAGAAAATACTTAAGTTATCTCTATAGAAGAATAAACCATTACTAGAAAAACAAATTCGAGTTTGCAGTGTCCATGTAACATGACAAAGGGCAATGCCTCTCTTTGCAGCTACAGCTGCTTCCCTTGTCTTGACCAAACACTAAGTCTAAAGCAGTCTCAACTTCCACACACAGTCGAAAGAATTAGAGGACTTGACACATGGCTGGTATATTTAATGTAGCTTTAGGGATGGCAAAACGGCTCAGCCTGATGACCTGAGTGTGAGCCTTGAGACCTTTCATTCCATTGTGATGGAATGAAGGAACTGATTCCCCTGGTTGTTCTCTGACCTTCGTGTCATGTCATGCAGCCCTCCCACAAAGAGTGAATATATTTTTTTAAAAAGCTACAAGGATGGGCAGTGGTGGCGCATGCATTTAATCTCAATACTCGGGAGGCAGAGGCAGGCGGATCTCTGTGAGTTTGAGGCCAGCCTGGTCTACAGAGTGAATTCCAGGACAGCTAAGGCTACACAGAGAAACCGTGTCTCGAAAAACAAAACAAACAAAAAGAAGCCCAATAGATTTTCTAATAACCAGTAAACTAAAACAAAGACATACCTTCAGAGACATAAGCAAAAGGCTTATTCCGAATAGAAAGCATCGTGAACAGGTTGAAAGAAAGAGCCACAAAAGTACCAACTAATAATCTTCCCCTAAAAAGAAGAAAACATTCACCTTGAATTCTTTGACAGGTAATTCCGGTCTGTAACTTCAGAATGTGGAAAATAGGGGAAAGGGCGGGGAGAGGGATGGCTGTAACGGTCTGCACACCAGAATCCAAACTTGTTTCTAGCCACAGAACTTACGCCTTGCCTGCTGCTGCTCCACTTACACAGGACCTGATGGGCCTCTTAAGGGAACTCGGGCTAACATGCTGGGCGAGTCAGATGTTCCTCAATTAACTAGTAAGAGCCCACAGAGTTGGTGAGCAGTGGGCGGAAAATGCACTCTTTTCTAAAGGTCACATGGAAAGTTTTGGGGGTTAGGTGTTAAATGACAGAACACTCACGAGAGCTGGTTTAGTGTGCTGACCTAGGCCTGAAGTTACAAAATCCTTCCTGTGCCATTACAAAGTCCAGGGTCTGGGGACTGTTAAAGGCGAAAGGGAGAGATGGGATTTGGAGGTTCTCATCCTGAGATGTAAGTGATAAGACACACAGCCATACTGTGAACTCTGACGCGGGACAAAGGAATAATGGAGCAACTAGTAACTGGGATTAGAAACAGCAGTAAATTACACCCAAATAAAAGTCTTTGTGTGCGTCAGTGGTAAAACACATGAAGCCCCGTGACTGAGATTAATCCTCATGGTTGTGATAAATAAATAAATAAATAATCCAGCTTACGTGTGTATCTCAGGCTGCTCCAAAAAACGTTCTGCACTAAAAGAAATAAAAATATATCAAGTAAGTTCTGTAAGTTATAAACCTAAAAATCCACATTAAATACATAGTTCCATATTATAAATACATAGTTAACCACCCCAAAGTTCACACAAATCTCTTAGTACATTTAGTGGAGTTGGTGCCAGGACATTAGCAGGTAGGTTTTGCTCAGTGTTCAATGTCAACACTCCTCTACCAAGCCCACTTCAACGGGCCGCTGAGGAAGTCCAACCCATGACTGCATTTAGTGCTACCACAGAAAAAACTAGAGGTGGAAAAGAAGGAGTCCAAAATAAGAGAAGGGGTCTGGAAGAAGAAGTTGTCCTATCGGAGCCCCAGCACTGTCCATTACAATCTGCATGTCACTCAAACCGCCACTGGAGTCTCTCATATTTCCAACTGTCACAGGTGAGGCTAATCATAATACATACAAAAATGTACCTTTCTTTTAGTATAAAGAGAGCTCCCAACTGTGCCAAGACGGTAGACGCAAACACAGCCAGGACTTCTAATCTTTCAAACCTGAAAGCAGATAATTAGTTTGAATGTCAAAATCCCTCAATTAATAAACCAGTCTTCCTAGAACATATATACATTCAAATATTTACTGGCTTGGTACATGTATGAGCAGCCTACTGGTAGCCAGCTCCTGGACGACAGGAATTGTAGACGAGTGTATCGACACAGTGGGTAAAAGGATGATCTGGTTGTGACATCTGCACCTTCCTGACTGTCAGGGTTGCTTGCTCATGTGTGTCCTTCCCAGAGCTATGCAGAAAAGGACCCCCACACAACAGAGCTGTTCTTCAATCAAGGGCATAGACTTTCTATTTCATACCTGATTCTATAACCATTTATGGCCATTATTTTTTGTAGAAATAACCATTATCATAAGAGCTAACACTTAACTGACCCATTCTGTACTGGTCATTACTATCCGTGTGATTTCTATTAACCCTTAAGTACTGTACTGGCTCACCTTGACTGAATAAAGAAACACCTACAAGACTAGCAAAACACACCTTGGGTGAGTCTGTGACGGTGTTTCCAGAAATAATTAGAAAGCGAGGGCTCTAAAGTAATTAATGTACTGATGCTCGATGGTCATAATACGGGAGTCCTAACTGGGAGGAGGCAAAGGGAAGAGATGGGGACTAGCTAGAGGAAACAGTGCGCGGCGTGCCCTGTGATCTGGTCACTTCCTGTATGCCTCTTTGCTCTGCTGTCTGTCCTCCAAGGAGCAGCTGTCGTCTCCTGTCCTCTCCACATCGATCATGCTGTGCTCGGCCTCGCATGGCCAAGAGACCATGAACTGAACTCTGAAACAGCGAGCCAGAACAACTCCTTCCTTTACCAAGTTGTTTTGTGGGTATTTTGTCATTGCAACATAAGAGTAACCAGTATGAGTCATACAAGGGTGCCTTCACACCTTCTAACACAGTCAGAGCCCCCTCCATTAGAAAAAGCGCATCTTTCAACTCTCAGTGAGTCCCATAACCATAGAAACAGAAGCTTCACAGTTTTGTTAGCTCACTGCTAAATCCAAAGTCTTACAACAGAAATCTATCTCCATCAATGCAAAATATTGAAATATATCATAGCACTTATAAAATTCACTTGCTAAAATTCTTCATACTGTCTATGACTAAAATATCATTCAAAAATATTAAAGAGTTTACCGAGATGAATTTGTTAGTATTTCTTTCATAAAATATAAAACAACTGAATATAAATATTTTAAATATTTTTATTTTTATTATATGTCATTTCTAGACTCTTCCTAGAAAATATTTCTTACGTACGCTCACTATTTATCACCATGTCACTAAGCAGGTGACATTTATTTCTATTTTCCAGAAATACTATAGCCAGCATTTCTACCATTATTATTTTAACAAAAATTATTAGTTTAAGCAAAAACTGAGCAGAAAATAAAATGATCTGAACTTACCCAAATGAATAGACAGGGCTAGGCTTCCTCATCATTACCCAGTAGCTTATTAAACATGTTATTAGACTAAAGGAAAACAAACTTTGCATTAGAACATTAGAAAGATGGACAGAAAGACATGCATAGACAAATGAAGTGGGGCTTTTGTTTGTTTTGTTTTTTTGAGACAGGGTTTCTCTGTATAACTAACTCCCTATGTAGACTAGGCTGGCCTATGAAGTAGTTGTTTAATAAGGGTTTATTTTACTCTGTGTGTGTGCGCATACACACACACACACACACACACACACACACACACACACACACACACATGTATCGCCTGCAGGCGCAGTGGAGGCCAGAAGATGGTGTCGGATCTCTGGAGCTGAGGATACAGGTGGCTGTGAGCCACCTGACGGGACTGCTAGCAGCTTACTTGGGTCTACAGCAAGAGTAGCAAGCACAGAACCCTCTCTCCAGTTTTCCAACAAACTAAGTCTTTAGAATCCCTTGGTGTTGAGAACTATTCATATACAATAGGTTAATAAGAAATTATAATTCCTAGTTAACCGTATCGATCCTCCTAACACATGCTTCTCTGGATGACAACAGCTTTAAAGTGAAGACTGAGCGAAACTGTAGCACACTAAGTCAGCTACACAGAACTTCAGTACGCAGTTCATCTATGTGGCAGGCTCCTGACTCTGGGCCATCTCCCCCTCCTTCTTACGGTGCATGCTGCCACAGTGTCCATGAGAGATGAGGACACCATGGCCATAGACACTCTGGGTTGGAAAGGGTTTATCTCAGCTCAGAGCTCTCAGGTCACAGTCCATCCCTGAAGGAAGTCAAGACGGAACTCAGGCAGGGCAGAGAAACCTGGAGGTGGGACTGATGCAGGGGCCATGGAGGGGTACTGCTTACTGGATGGTTCTTCAGAGTCTAAGCTTGCTCAGTCTGCTTTCTTATAAACCCCAAAACCACCTGCCCAGGGGTGGCACTACCAATGTGGAACCCTCCCACATCAATCATGAGTTACAGACTTGCCTACGGGCAAATCCTATAAAGGTATTTTCTTTTTTTTCTTTGTTTTTCGAAACAGAAACTTGTTCTGTAGACCAGGCTGACCTCAGACTCACAGAGATCCATCTGCTTTTGCTTCCTGAGTGCTGGGATTAAAGGTGTGAGTCACCAATGCCCAGCTGAGGCATTTCCTTAACTGAGAGCCCCACTTACCTAATGACTCTAGCTTGTATTAGCTGACATAAAATTAGCCAGGAGGGAGTGGATGTAGCATTGTGTCCTTGTGTCAGGGCTACCTGAGCACTATGTGATAACAGAAGACAGACACTGAGTGACTAACAGGCAGGTCTACAGTGTGTGCAAACTGCACACAAGATGATTCATGCCCTGGGCTGGGCGAGTCAGGACAGTGCCAGAGTTCACCACGCTGCTCAGAATAGCATGCAATGCAAAGCCTGTGAGGAAATAGCTTCTTTCTGGATTCAGACTGCAGTCGGTAAAACCATGGATCAGGGAGACTACTGGAAACATTAAGTTTGTCAAGGGTAACTAAATTCGGGAGAATTGTGTGATTTTAACGTTTTCTAATAATTAATGTGTATTTGTGTGTGCACTTGAGCACAGGTGACCAAAGACACCAGAGCCTGCTAAAGCTGCTGGTTCAAGCCATTGTAAATCACCTGACATGGTACTAGGGGAACCTAACTTGGGTCCTCTGGAAGAGCAATACAGGCTCTTAACTACTAAGCCAGTGTCCAGGTTTGTGTGTGTGTGTGTGTGTGTGTGTGTGATTTTAAGTACATGATTTGTAATTTTTATGTTTGTTTTTGAATTTTTTTTCTTTTTTTGCTGTTGTTGTTTTTGAGACAGGGTTTCTCTGTGCTGGAGCTCACTCTGTAGACCAGGCTGGCCTCAACCTCACAGAGATCTGCCTGCCTCTGCCTCCCGAGTGCAGGGACTAGAGGCGTGCACCACCACCACCCGGCTTCTGTTATCTTCAGCATGTGCGCATCCTAAGTTAATGCCTGGGTATTCAGTTTCTGTTGTTAGAAGGGGAAATATTTTCTTGTTACACCACTGGGTGCTGTCATTTGTGTTGTCCATTTCTATGATAAATCTACTTATTTAGCTAGTTACTTTCCTTTAAGCAAAGATAGGTTAGTAAATAAATCAGTGTAATAAATTCTAGTTTGTTGTCTTTAAATTTTAAAGGATATTTAAAAAACTTACCTAAAAAGATCAAAAATGGTGAGGTAAGTATAAGCAGTTAAAGCTGCAAAACAACAGACAGACTCGTTAACATGCACTTAATCCACTTTCATTACTGCTATCTTAGATGTGGGTGTGGGGTGCTGAACCCCTAGAAGCAGAGGTACAGATGGTTCATATGAGTACTGAGAACTGAACTCAGGTCCTCCACAAGACTGACAATCATTTTTTTAAAATTTATTTTATGTGCATTGGAATGAAGGTTGCATACAGTTTTGAGTCGCCATGTGGGTGCTGGGAATTGAACTCAGGACTTCCGGAAGAACAGCCAGTGCTCTTAACCTCTGAGCTATATCGCTCCAGCCCCTGGCAAGCATTCTTAACCACTGAGCCATAGCTCCAGTTCCTATTTGGGGGGAGGGGGGTGTTGGAGACAATTTTAAAAAATATTTATTTTTAATCTTTATTTTATGTATATGAATGTTTCTACCTGCAGGTATGGTGTACACTACACCTGTGCAGCACCCACAGAGGTCAGACGAGGGCACAGAATCCCCTGGAACTAGACTCATAGGGGTTGTGAGCCACCATGTAGGTGCTGGGAATCAAACACAGGTCCTTCATAAGAGCAGCCTGTGCTCTTAAACATTAAGCCACCTTTCTAGCCCCCTCCTAATCCATTTTTAAGATAACAAAATATCAAAAGAATTTGAAGTTCCTGATCAATTTTATACATTTGCAATTTTATACTAAATATGATTAACACATAAAGTCAAAGCAGTGTAAACTTAAGTCACACCCCTATACCAGAAAAAATGAAGCTGCCAAAGGCTGAAACCCTAAGGGCATTCTTGTGCCTGCTTCTGGCAGCTGGTTACTAGTTTTTGTTCTTATCTTATTTCAGATTTATGTATTAAATTCATAAATCGAGCAGCCTCTTTCCTCCCCTTTCTCCTCTCCCTCTTCCTCTGTCTCTCCCTCTCTCCAGAGTTGGAGACTGAACCCAGCGCAGAGACGCTGGGCAGGCGCACCGTCACTGTGGAGATTGAACCCAGAGTCCTGGGCAGAGACGCTGGGCAGGCGCGCTGTCACTGGGCTGCACTCACATCCTCTCATACTGTTCAGACGTCAAGGTGCGAGAAGAAAATGACAGACGTTCTCTCTAATGGAATAACTACTAAGCTCTAAACATCTTCCTTATAAACTGTACAAGTTAAAGCTTCAACAGAACACACTAAGGAGCTGTGTGGCACAACTGGCTTGGAAGACTGTTGACGGAGGCTGTTTGTCAACAGAAGATTTTTCTCTTGTTTTGTATTTTTGTTTTAAATTACAGATCATGGGGATGGAGAGCTCAGTGGGTAAGCACACTGGCTGCTCACCCAGAGTTCAATTCCCAGCACCCACATGGCAGCTCGCAACTGTCTGTGACTCCAAGATCCGACAGCCTCACACAGACATGCACATAAACTAAAAAAGAAAAATAACTAAATTATAGATCACTTAAAATGTCATGTAAAACAAGGCTAGGGATGTGGCTCAGAAGATAAAGGACTTGCCTGGAATATAAAAAGCATTGGGTTCAATCCATGCATAAAATCAAGAATGATGGCAAATGCCTATAACCCCAATACTGGAGAAGTAGAGGGAGGGGGCAGACATTCAAGGTAATGCTGGCTGTAGAGTGAGTCTAAGACCACCCAGCGCTACATGAGATTCTAGTTAAAAAACAAAACAAACAAACCTAAAGAAAGTCCAATCAAATAACTGAACTCTACTGTTCACAGGGATGTTTAAATATATTCTTGTAAAAATCAATGCAGGGCCAGCAAGATGGCTGAATAGGTCCAAGCCCTTGCTACACCAAGCTTGACACACCTGGGTTCGATCCCTGGTCCGAATGGTGAACAGAGAGAAGCAATTCCCACACTCTGATCTCCATACATCTCCCACTTCACAAATAAAATAAATCAACTTGCTGGGTGGTGGTGGCACATGCCTTTAATCCCAGCACTCGGGAGGCAGAGGCAGGTGGATCTCTGTGAGTTCGAGGCCAGCCTGGTCTACAAGAGCTAGTTCCAGGAGAGGCTCCAAAGACAATTTAATAATATTTGTTTTAAAAAGCAGCAATCGAGGGTGAGAGAGATGGCTCAGTGGCTAAGAGCAATGGCTGGTCTTCCAAAGGACCTGAGTTCAATTCCCAGCACTCATAAGGCAGTTCACAACTGTCTATAAGTCCAGTTCCAGGGGACCTAACACCTTCATTCAAATACACTTACAAGGAAAGACCAAAGAATACAAACAATAAATGAACAAATAAATAAATAATTAAAAGTAAGTAAACAAACCAGAAATTTTTAAATTTAATATTTTTTTTTTTTTTTTTTCAAGACAGGGTTTCTCTGTAGCTTTGGAGCCTGTCCTGGAACTAGCTCTTGTAGACCAGGCTGGTCTCGAACTCACAGAGATCCGCCTGCCTCTGCCTCCCAAGTACTGGGATTAAAGGCATGCGTCACCACCGCCCGGCCTAAATTTAAAATTTTTAAATCATTTGAGCTACACGCATTTAAGAAAAACACATCCTATATAAAGGAAAATACACTGCTTTAGGGTTATATTTTGTAAAAGATTTATTTATTATGTATAGAGTGTTCTGCCTGCAAGCCAGAAGAAGACAGAATCTCAGTATAGATGATTATGAATTATCATGTGGGTGCTAGGAATTGAACCTGGGTCCTCTGGAAGAGCAGCCAGTGCTCTTAAACTCTGAGCCATCTCTCCAGCCCCCTGTCTTAGGGTCGTCATTGCCGTGATAAAATAACATAATCAAAAGCAACTTGGGAAGGAAAGGGTTTATTTGGTTTACATATCCTAAATCACAGTCCACCGAGGGAAGCCAAGGCATGAACACATATAGGGCAGGAACCTAGAGGCAGGAGCTGATGCAGAGGCTATGGAGGAGAGCTGTTTTCTACCTTGTTCATCATGGTTTGCTCAACTTGTTTTCTTGCTTTGTTTTTTTAAGATTTACTTATTTTTATTTTATTTGTATGGATGTTTTTGTTGCATGCATGTATACATATAACACACGTGCCTGCAGTCCTTCAGAAAAGGACACTGGATTTTTTAGATATGAAATTACTAACTAACCGTTGTTAGTTGCCATATGGGTACTAGGAATTGAACCCAGATCTTCTGGAAGAGCAACCAGTACTCTCAATCCCTGAGTCATCTCCAGCCCCTAAAACTTGACTTTTTTCCCCCTTAGAGACAAGATGTCTCTATGCAGCCTTGGCTGTCCTGCAATTCACTCTGTAGACCAGGCTGGCCTCGAACTCAGAGATCCACCTGCCGCTGCCTCCAGAGTGCTGGGATTAAAGGCATGGACCAAATGATTCTATTACACTGCTTTCTTATAGAAGCCAGGAGCACCAAGTCAGAGTGACACCATCTACAGTGGGCTGCGCCCTCCTCCAGGCAACACTAAGAAAACCCTCTACTGGTTTGCCTACAGACCAGCCTCACGGAGCCATTTTCCTCACTGAGGTTCCCTCCTCTCAGATGACTCCAGCTTGGGTCAAGCTGACATAAAACTAGCCAGCACATACACCTTTATTTAAAATCAGAAGCAAAAGTGAAGCTGATAAACCCAAAAGGGTCACATACCGATGCTGTTCGTAGAGCTGCACCACATGAGCAGGAAGCCCGTGCACAGCACGTTGACCGCACCAAAGAGAAGGATCTTCCAGGACTGCGGGAAGGAAAAGCACGCCCATTCACACAGTGTTGACAGAGTTCACAGATCTGTTCAAGCTGCCCAACTCACACTGAGAAAAAGCACATAATAAACCCAACTTCTTCTAAAAAGTATGTTCCATTTTCTACATCTTCCAAAATCATCACCAGGCAAGCTACCAGGAGGACTAGGCAACAGATCAAAACCCTGCCAGAAACAACCCAACAAGAATGGAAAATTTAGCTGGGTGGTGGTGGTGCACACCCTTAATCCCAGCACACAGGAGGCAGAGGCAGGTGGATCTCCATGAGTTTGAGGCCAGCCTGGTCTACCGAGTGAGTTCTAGGACAGTCAGGGAAACCCTGTTTCAAAAACCAAAACCAAACAAACAAGTAAAAATTAAAGATAACTCTCTGAATCAAGCTATTTATTACAAGTATCTGTACCAGGCATGTGAGGACAGCAGAGACCAAAACACAGCCCTACAATGTGGGCAGTGACAATAAACAAGGATTTCGGTTAATGGCGGCAGGTGCTAGGAAGCAAATAAAAAGGCAGCGGCAGTCGGACCAGTGCACTCAAGCCCAGCCTGCTCCACAGAGTGCAGTTCCAGGATGGCCAGGCTACACAGAGAAGACCTGTTTAGAAAGAAGTGGGCTGAGGAAACAGTAACGGGGAAGGTGTGGGAGGGTCTGTTCTAGACAGGCTCATCAGAAGGGACTCGCAGCACAGTGACAGAGAACAGGATCCGAGACCACAAGAGGGGTCTGAGGAGACAGCACGTGACATCCTGAATGCCAAAAATGCATTTGTTTGTTCCCCAAAAAGCATTCTTCTAGGCATGTTGGGGTACACTTGTGATTCCAGCAAGTCTGAGGCTAGCCTAAGCTACATCTGGGACTCTCAACCCCTCTCTGCCTAAAGAAAGCCAAAGAGCATTCCACCTACTCCGCGGTGCAACACTGGTGAGAAGCTGTGCGAAGAAGGGTCAGATTCTGAGCACCACACCAAAGACAGAGCTGTCCCGTTTGCTGGAAACTCCCATGTGAGGAGCGAGGGACTAAACAAGGATGAAAATGATGAAAACTTTTCTGGCTTTAACAGTTAATCTGCAAGACTATCCAGTTAACACGCAGCTGACTGAGGAAGAAGGTCCAGTTTTGACCACGCCATGACTGAAATGCCCGTGAGCCACCCAGTGGGACCCTGAAGAGTCCAAGTTCCATAAAGAAGGAGGTGGGAGAGAGGTTAGGGCTTGAGATCTAAATACGGGGCATCCATTCACAGGGAGTAAAGACAACTATGACAGCAGACAGCACTTCTAGATGTGCGAAATCTTAGAGGCGGGAGCTCACACTCCCAAGTGCAGAAGTAGGAACAGGGATGAGAACAACTGAACGATGAAGGACACGTCAGGAAGAAGAAAGCCCAAGACTTTCGGAACTTATATAATGCTGTATTTAAGGAGAAGTGACCAATTCTTGTCAACTATGGCAAATAGGTCAAGAAAGATGAGAAATGACAATGCGTGGTGATTTTGCTAACACAGATTAACACAGACACAACTGGTTTAGAAACTGTCAATTACTGGGCCAGCAAGATGGCTCAAAGGGTAAAGGTATTGTTGCCAAGTCCTAGGACTGGAGTTTGATCCCTGGGACTCACATGGGAGCAAAAGAAAAGTGATTCCTAAGTTGTTCTCTGACCTCCACATATGGCTTTGCAATACTCAAACCATGGTAGAAGGACGACTTACCCTGCGGTCAGCTGCTACAAGTCTAAATTCCTGTAGTAACTTTCCAAGAAAAGATCTCTGCGGCTTTCGAAAGAGATGAATTGTCCCCTTAAAGACAAACATAAAAAACACAAATCAGCCTTGATTATCTACTAATCTTCAAAGACCCTGTGATTTGGTAATGAACTAGCACTTGTTGAGTGTTCCACATCCCAAGCACTTCCTCTATACAACTTACATGCATTTATTGAATTAATACTCAAATAACCATATGAGAAGCAAACCATATTTGCTAAGTTCTCCAAAGTCTCCAAGCTAGTCAGTAGCTAATTCAGATGTAGGCATGTTTGGTTTTTGGAGATATAGGGTTTCCTGTACAACCCTGGCTGTCCTGGAACTCACATTGTAGACCAGTGTGATCTCGAACTTAAGACCTCTGCCTCCTGCATGCTGGGATTAAAGGCGTGCGCATCTACCACCCAGCTAAATATTTTTGGTTTTAACTAAGTACTTTTTTAAACACTAAAGAGAGGGCGGATATAACAACCATCCTACATTTCCACTTCACTGAAGTTTGAGTCAAATACTGATGCTGCCCAAAGATCCTGGCCCTGGTTTTTTTGTTTTTAAATAGACTATTTTTATCTGGAGAGAAATACATTTTCTTAAAGAATTGTGGGCCAATTCAGGAGGTCAGCACACACCAGTAATTAGAGCACACTGAATTTGAGGAGAGCCTAGGGCAATGGTTCTCAACCTTCCTAATGTTGAGACCCCTTTAATGCAGTTCCATTCCTCATGTTGTACTGACCCCAACTGATGTAGTAAGTCCTTCTGTATATGTGTTGCTTTTAATGGTTAATGAATAAAGAATCTACATTGACCTGTGATAGGGCAGAATAGAGCTAGGTGGGAAAACTAAACTGAATGCTGGAGAAAGAAGGCAGAGTCGAGAGATGCCATGTAGCTGCCAGAGGGAAAAGACTTTAGCTGAGAGCTGTAACCCTGCCGGTAGGCCACGAGCCTTGTGGTAAAACATAAACTAACAGAAATAGGTTAATTTAAGATTTAAGAGTAAGCCAAACTTATGCTTAAGTGACTAAATAATATAGTTTCTGTGTGATTATTTCCGGAACAAACAAGTGGCTCCAACAACACCCAATCAAAATTATTTTGTTGCTACTTCATAACAGTAATTTTGTTAACTCTTATGAATCATAATGAAGTATCTGATAAGTAAGATGGTCTTAGGCAACCTCTGTGGAAGGGTCATTCGAATCCCAAAGGAGTTGCAACCCACAGGTTGAAAACCACTGGCCTAGGGTACATGATAAAAACACTACCACAAGGGGCTGGAGAGATGGCCCAGTGGTTAAGAGCATTGCTTGCTCTTCCAAAGGTCCTGAGTTCAATTCCCAGCAACCACATGGTGGCTTACAACCATCTGTAAAGAGGTCTGGTGCCCTCTTCTGGCCTGCAGACATGCACACAGACAGAATATTGTATACATAATAAATAAGTAAATTTAAAAAAAAAAACACTACCACAAGGAAACAAAGTAAAAAGAAAGATGCAAGACAATGGTGGCACATGTCTCTAATCTCAATACTTGGGAGGCAGAGGCAGGCAGATTTCTGAATTTAAGGCCAGTCTGGTCTACAGAACCAGTTCCAGGACACCCAAAGCTACACAGAGAAACCCTGTCTCAAAAAACAAAAACAAATCAACAATGTATGGAAGCTTTGGAGCCTTTACCCCAAAATAAATGTTGCTTCCCAGCACACAGGAGGCAGAAGCAGGATTTCTGTGAGTTCAAGGCCAGCTTGGTCTACAAAGCATGTTTCAGGACATCCAGGGCTCTTGCACAGAAAAAAACTTTCCCAAAAAAACAAAAGAAAAAGAAAACACAGCACTTGGGAGGCAGAGGCAGGCGGATCTCTGTGAGTTCGAGACCAGCCTGGTCTACAGAGCTAGTGCCAGGACAGGCTCCAAAGCCACAGAGAAACCCTGTCTCGAAAAACAAAAACAAAAAATTAAATAAGAAAAAGAAAACAACAACAAAAAACCAGAAACAAAAAAACCAAACAAACTTATGTATATGTATCTGCTTAAATGTGTGCCACCTGTGGAAGCCAGGAGGCAGCAGGTTCTCAGAACTGGCGTTCCAGGATGTAAACAGAAAGTGCTTTTAAGCGCTGGGCCGTTCACCTCTCCAGTCCCCAGTTCATCCCATGAACTTTAATTATTTTGTTAGGTTAGGGTCACTTTTTTAAGGGTCACTTCTGGTGCCATCTGATATTGCGGAGATCTGACATTGCTGGCTCAGTTGATAAAGTGCTTGTTGCCACATAAGCAGAGGGTCTGGTGTGGATCCTAGAATCCAAGTGCCAAGCGTGACTTTACAACCTCAGTGCTGGGGAGGAAGAACAGAGAGGTGAGATCCTTGGAGTTCTTCTTTACTTTACATTTGTTTGCTTGTTTACTTGTTTGTTTATTTATTTTTTTGGTTTTTCAAGAAAGGGTTTCTCTGTAGCTTTGGAGCCTGTCCTGGAACTAGTTCTGTAGACCAGGCTGGCCTAGAACTCACAGAGATCCGCCTTCCTCTGCCTCCCGAGTGCTGCGATTGGTTAAAGGTGTGCGTCGCCACCACCAGGCTGTTTATTTTTGAGACAAGGTTTCTCATGTAGCTCTGGCTGCCTGGAACTCACTATAAAGACCAGACTGGCTCACAGGATTCACTTGATTAACTTACAGAGCTTCTGCCTGCCTCTGGCTCCCAAATGCTGGAATCAAAGGCATGTATCCCCACTATGCCCCGTTGGAATTTAAAAAAAAATTGAACATTTTATTATTTTTCAAGTGTATGGGTGCTTTGCCAACAAATGTATCTGTGTCCCACATATGTGTTTGTTGCCCATGGAGGCCAAAAGAGGGAGTTGGATCCCCTGAAACTAGATTTATATGTGGATGTGAGCCACCGTGTCAGTGCTGAGAATTGAACCTGGGTCCTTTGGGAGAGCAACTGCATTCTTAATCACTGAACCATCTCTCCAATCCTACTTAGAGCTCTTTAGTAAGCAAGAATAGCTGGGTCAATGAACTCATGTCCCCCAAAATGTGAAGGCACGCACAACGGTCCATGCCTTTAATCCCAGCACTAGCAAGACAGAAAGGCAGGAGGATCTCTGAGCTTGAGACAAACACAGTGAGTCCCTGTCTCAAAGTAAGTAATAAACAAACAAACAAGAAGTAAGTAGGTGAAGGCTGACAGCGGAAGATATCAATGTCGAGCTCTGCCTCACACACACACATACACACGAACAGGTATACATATCACATATACACGATAAGGTGGAGAGTCAATGAAGACACTCAATACTGACCTCTGTCCTCCATAATCATCCACATACACACAACATATGCAAACACGGAATACATAAAAAAGGGAGAAACTGTCCGAGGAGGCTACAAAGGACTGTTTCATGCTTCATCATTGATATGCAGTCTTCTTAGATTATTCCAAACTATAGTGCTTTTATGCTATTCCTTTTGCAGTTTATTACAGGACAATCCTCATCCTGGTACCTTGTATCAGAAGTTAGTTTTTGTAACTTTACTAATGCTAATAGTTATACTTTCTCCACATTTTCTAAGAAAGTACTATATTCTTACACAGAACATTTTCTTCATTAGAACATACAAGTCATAAAACCACTTCCTGGCTCGGCAGTGGTGGTGCACATCTCTAAATTGGGTACTCAGGAGGCAGAGGCTGGCAGATCTCTGTGAGTTCAAGGCCAACCTGGTCTACAGAGTGAGTTACAGGACAGCCAGGGCTACAAAGTAAAACCCTGTCTCAACAAGTATGGATTTCTGTGAGTTCGACCCCAGCCTGGTCTACAAGAGCTAGTTCCAGGGCAAGCTCCAAAGCTACAGAGAAACCCTGTCTCAAAAAACAAACAAAACCAAACAAACAAGTAATAACCATAAAAATTGTCACTTCCCTCTCCCAGATTCTACAGGGGGAACAAAGAACTAAAAAAAAAAAAAAAAAAAACTATGCCAGGATACTGAGACTTGAGATTATGAGGGCTGGCAGCTCAGTCAGGAAAGTGCTGGCCACATAAGCATGAGGACTTTGTTAGAGCCACAGCATCCTGAAGGAGCCTGTAATCTCAGGACAGGACGGCAGAAATACTAAGGCCCCTAGGGCTGTAGATCAGTGGTAGATTTCGTGCCTTAAGTGCTTGAGGCTACACGTTCAATCCCCAGAACTGACTTGGACCCCTGCCCTCCACACACACATAAACTCATACACAGAGTGAAGAGCAGGTAAGGTTATACAGGAAAGGATGGGAGTAGGAGATGGAGAATCCAGGCAGATGGAAGAGCACATGCAAAGTAGGTTCCTACAACAAAGTCTGCAAGCTGTTCACTGTTGTCAGAATATGGATGTTGTGTGTATTTAAAAAAAAGAAGAAGAAGAAGAAGAAGCCAGAAAGACTGAAGGCTATCTGGCAGGCTCCAAATAGGTCACTGTCACTCCCCACAGAGGACAAAGTTTTACCCATTTTCTGTATGCAAAGGATTACTGAGATTTTATGGAAGTATTATGTAAGATTTAAAAAAAAACAAACAAACAAACCAGGGGATAGAACTATGACTCAGAAGTTAAGAGCATTCATCACTCTTACTAAGGACAGGGGTTCGGTTCCCTGTGCCCACAAGGCGCTCACATTTGTCTGTAACTCCAGTTCCAGGAGCTTCAATACCTTCTTAGCTCCCAGGGCACCAACATACATGCAGACACAACATCCATACACAAAATTAAATAAAAAAAATCTTGAGACTGGAGAAATGGCTCAGTAGGTAAGAACACCTACTGTTCTTCCAGAGGACCCAAGTTTGACTCCTAGCATCCACATTCAATCTCAACTGCCTGTAACTCCATCCCTGGGATCCCAGGGGGAATCTAATGTCTCTGCTTCCTCCGACTTGTGCACTAATGTATTAGCACAAGCCCACATAACTTAAAATAACAAATTCTTTAAAAGATCTTCATTAAATTTTCAAAAATATAATTTGAAAGACTATTTTAATATAATTTGACATCCAAAGAAGAAAACTTTACGGTGGTAAACAGTAAGTGAGCAAAATTGTGCCATTGTCATGCGTAAACTACCAAGAAGGGATCAATGAGTTTTTATGACCATTTGAAAGGGCAGCTAGCACTCCTATGTCTAAAAACACAACCATCTCCTCGCTTAAATTGAGAGATTCAGGTTTGACTTCTGGATTTTGTTGTCTGTTTTTAGGCTCCCCCCCCCCCCCCAGGTAGGGTGACTATGTAACCCAGGATAGCCTTCAAATCTCAATCCTCCTGCCTCAGATTCCTGAGTTGTAGGTTACAGGCATGTGTCACTACACTCAATTTAAAAACTAACTCCTGGCGATGGTGGCACAGGCCTTCAACCCCAGCACTCGTGAGGCAGAGGCAGGCGGATCTCTGTGCGTTCGAGGCCAGCCTGGTCTACAAAACGACTTCCAGGACAGCTAGAACTGTTATACTGAGAAATCCCGCCTCGAACACCACCCCCAAAGAACTTAATCCTTTTTAGGGAAATCACGACGCTCAACAACCACGGCGGACAATAGAACCTTCAATGGCTGCTCCACTAACCCTTTCTGGAGCCGCCGGCGCCTACTGAAGTTGCTGTGTCAAGCTATTAAACACTCAAATGCCGCAAACGCGTGAACACCCGTCCACGCGTCGCTACTCTAGTCGCTATGTGGACTTGTTTCCAGACAGATGTTTATTTGACCATCAGGAGAATCTCGGGTCCCAGCTGTGGAAGCACCGGCAGGAACCCTTGAGGACCAGCGCTCTGTCCTGTGTGTGAGCAGCCGCTCCTCCCTGCCCGGCGCAGCCCCGACGACGCGGTTCCGAGCCGCGGCGGCACAGCGGGACGCTCCGGCGAGGAAGCAGCGGAAAGCACCCCGCACCGAACCCGCACACCCCACAGCCAACTCACCATGGTAAGGAGCCCTACAGCTCCCGCCGGAAGACGCTCTGGGAGTTCGCTTTACCCGAGCGGAAAGGGCGGGTCATCAGAGTCCGATTGGTTGGCGGGCGGTGGGGGCGGAACTGCGCGTGCGCTCAAGGTCCCGACCCTTCCGGCAACCTCGGCTTGTTCAAGAGATGAGCGGGTTGCGGTTGCGGGCCACCTCTCTAAGGCTTTTGGTATTACGCTAAATATTTCTGTTTTCAAAATGAAGAAGCTGTAAGATTAAAAGATGTCACAGTAGGCCTGGCGGTGGTGGCGCACACCATTAATCCCAGCACTCAGGACGCCTAGGCAAGCAGATCGCCGTGAGTTTGAGGCCAGCCTGGTCTACAGAGTGAGTTGCAGGACTCAGGACAGCCAGCCAGGGCTACATAGAGAAACCTTGTCTCGAAAAACAAAACAAAATCCTCCACACGGTTTCATTAAAAACCGTGTCACAGTAAACACTTAAAATCATAAGGACTCACGCAGGTGGCCAGGCTTGTTTGGTCCCGGTGCTCAGGAAGCAGAGGCTTATCCCTGGGGCCGCAAAGTTGGAGCTCAGTGGCCCTATTTCAAAAACCAAGGTGGACGTCAGCCTTAGACACAAGGTTGTCCTCTGGCTTCCATGTGCACTTCACTGGCCAGGGTACACACAGCATTGCCTGGGTATAGTTCTAACGCTGAAGGTTGTGAACGGAAGACTGTACGAAACAGCAACACTCGGTCTCAAAAACCAAAAAAGAAAGGAAAACAAAACAAAAACACCACAAAGGGGGCTGAAGAGATGACTCAATGGTTAAGAGCTGACTGCTCTTCCAGAGGCTCCGGGTTTGATTCTCAGCATCCACATGGCTGCTCACAGCCGTTTGCAAATCCAGTTTAAGAGGATCAGGCACCACCACTAAGCCCTTATGAAGCACTGGTGACACGCACGGGTTTAACTGCCTAAACTGGGTGTAGACCTGTATGTAACCCGATAGCATCATTGGCTGAGGAAAGAATACTGAGTTCTAGCATGTTTGTGCCTTAGAGTAGGTTCGCCGTCAGCCTCCTGAATTTAGTGAGGTCATCCCAAATTTAAGGAGAAAGTAACGGATTGTAGCTGGGTTCCATCCCAGCAATACAAAACAAAAAAATGTTACACACTCAATGTGGTGCCCTCCTTGGAAGGCTGTGGCAGAAGACAGAATTCAAGTCACACTTCACACAAAAGTACCAAAAGACATGAAATAGAGTAGCATTTGTTAGAACAGTTTCAGTGGGAGGAGATGAGACAAGGTAAGGGTAAAAAGGACTAAAATTCATTATATACTAGGAAACTATCCAAGAATGAAATATTTTAAAAATCAGAAACATTGCTCAAGTCATATCTATTTCACATGCTGGTGTGAACTCAGGATATTTTGTTTTTAGCTTAATATACTCTGGCTCATTCTCTAACAGTTTTTTTTTTTTTTTTTTTTTTTTTTTTTTTTTTTTTTTTTTTTTTTTTTTTTTTTGTTGGGTTATTTGTTCTTTTGATGACCAATTTCTTGAATTCTTTGTATATGTTGTCAATTACAATTTGAAGGTAATATAGGGTCAATTGCAGTGTGATAGTCTGATTAGTCTGATCGAGGGGAATTCTGACCTGACTACATTTCGAGAGTAATCATGTCAACAAGTAGTAATTAAAGAGAACACACTTCGGCAGTTAGGAGTGCTTGATG